ATTATACGTACCAGAGGCAATAACCCTGATGTCCTGGGATAATGGTCCATGGATACGGTGGGCCCCTCATCTAGAAGCGGACTAGCTCAACATATCTTTATCGATAAGATTTTCCGCCTGAGGCAGACTGCAGAAAATTATTCGGCGCTAAGAACATCCGCCCCGAAAGAAAAGAGAAATGCGATTTCATGTCGAGCTAGCTTGACAGAAAAATAGAACAGCTCATCGTTGACTATTTCCGGGAGACCTTTCTTTCGGTGCAGGAGGAAATAGACTTCCTGAGAGGTCTTTGACCTCGTTTTCTCTCTTTTTTCCGCAATGGAGCAACAATCGAACAGGGCCCATCGGGTCACGAAAGAAAAGAAGAAATATGATGGTCAGTATACCGTTGAACAAGCTGGGCGCAATGGCGCCATGTTGTAATGGATTATATGGCCAGTTGCTTACTTTAATATTGGAAATATAGGGCCGAATCCGAAGGCTTTCGCGTTCTCGAACCCCGGTAAAGGAAATAAAGCTGGCGCGAGATCTCACGATGTATGGATGATTTGTCTCGCATTCCTAGTGATTTTCGGAATTTGTCGCTAATATTTACTGCCGATATAGATTAAAGAGAAAAGGCTGCATGTCCCTTTGGTTGATCGTCTGCCTGAAGAAGCCCCCCCGCTCGTTGTCGCTGTGGTTGGACCGTCTGGTGTGAGTATCCTTTTTGCAGAGAAATTCGAGTACGCGGCGTTTAACCCATGTTCTTTCCGTATAGGTTGGCAAGACGACTCTTATCAAGTCCTTAATTCGCCGGTACACCAAGCAGACACTTAGCACACCCAATGGACCGTTGACCGTGGTGACATCCAAGCGCCGCCGTCTTACTATCCTAGAATGTCCTTCCGACTCGCTTGCAAGCATGATTGATGTAGCCAAGATCGCCGATATTGTTCTCCTAATGATTGACGGGAATTACGGATTCGAGATGGAGACAATGGAGTTTTTGAATGCCCTATCTACAAGCGGTATGCCCGGAAATGTTTTTGGTATCCTTACGCATCTGGATCTTTTCAAGAAGCAAAGCACCCTCCGGGCCGCCAAGAAGCGCCTGAAGAACCGGTTCTGGAGCGAATTGTACAACGGCGCGAAGCTATTCTATCTGTCAGGTGTTATCAATGGTCGTTACCCCGACCGTGAAGTACATAACCTCTCCCGCTTCCTTTCCGTCATGAAGAACCCTCGGCCTCTCGTGTGGCGCAACTCGCACCCTTACGCCCTTGCAGACCGCTTCCTGGATATCACACCGCCGACACAAATCGAAGAAGACCCGAAATGTGACCGGACCATTGCGCTGTACGGTTATCTGAGAGGAACAAACTTCCCTGCCCAAGGTGCACGTGTTCATGTTCCTGGAGTCGGTGACTTGACGGTTTCTGGGATTGAATCTCTACCCGACCCTTGCCCCACTCCGTATATGGACCAGCAGATACAGAAGGCCACCGGAAAGGCAAGCAAGCGCAGATTAGGTGAAAAGCAAAAGCTACTTTTTGCTCCCATGTCCGACGTTGGAGGTGTTTTGGTCGACAAAGATGCTGTCTATATCGATGTGAAGACCTCTAATTTCAACAACGAGGAAGATGAGGAGAGAGACACAGACCGAGGTCTTGGTGAGCACCTTGTGGTTGGCTTACAAGGCGAGCGGAAACTTCTTGGCGAGGCAGACAGCGGTGTCCGTCTGTTCCGTGGCGGAGAGACCATCACGAAGGTCGATGACGAAGATTCTGGTACCGGAAGGAAGCACAAGAGACAAGTGCAGTTTGCCGGCGATGACAAACAGGACGCATCTGAAGAAGATGAGGGCTTTGAAAGCGCAGAGGATGAGGAAGACGATGAGCCAGATCAGGAAGACATGGAAGATGGCAGTGATGACGAAGGCGAAGGCGATTTGGACGCTTCGGCGCCTGCAGACTTTGGAGAACGCTTCAGAGAACGGCAAAATGGAAATGCATCCCATCAGGAGTCTGATGTTGCGTTTGCAGATAGTGACTCGGACCTTGGCTCTATATCCTCTGTGGAAGACCAGGTTCTTGATAGCGACGAGGAAGATGAGGATGAGGATGAGGATGAGGATGTCGATGAGGAAGACGATGGAACCGTGCGTTGGAAGGATAACATGCTTGCCAACGCTAAGTCACTTCACTCCAAGCGCCCACGTTACCGCATCACGGACCTCTCGCGCACCATATATGACGAGTCGATAACACCGGCTGATGTCATTCGACGCTGGCGCGGCGAGGAAGATGATGACGAGGAACCGGAAAATGAAGATGACGAGGATACATTCTTCAAGAAGACAAATGTTGAAGAAGAAGAGCAAGCAGAGTACCGCGCTGTTCCCGAGTATGACTACGACGAACTGGAGCGGAAATGGCGGGACGAAGAATTGATCGAGTCGCTACGAAAACGCTTCGTGACCGCTAAATTGTCTGGTGACGGCGAGGATGATGAAGATGAGGATCTTGAGGATGGCTTCGGCGAGGACGATGAAGGGGATGGTGATTTTGAGGACCTAGAGACGGGAGAAGTGTTCAATGGAATTGAAGACGGCGAAAACGACGACGGTGAGGACGGCGAAGAAGACAGTGGTCCCGAAGACTTGGAAGCCGAGCGCGCCCGAAACGCTAAGAAGAAAGAAGACTTGAGGCTTCGATTCGAAGAGGAAGATCGCGAAGGTTTCGCGAACTCGAAAGACAATTCGCGGCAAGACGGTGCTGAAGCTGAGGAGGAATTCGGAGAGGATGAATGGTACGACGCGCAAAAGGCAAAGATGCAAAAGCAGACCGACATCAACCGCGCAGAGTTCGAATCCTTGGACCCTACCTCCAGAGCCAGAGCAGAAGGCTTCAAGGCAGGAACATATGCGCGCATCGTGCTTGAAAAGGTGCCTTGTGAATTCGCTACCAAGTTCGATCCTCGATATCCTATCATTGTTGGCGGTCTGGCACCAACCGAGGACCGTTTTGGATATGTCCAGATTCGTATCAAGAGACACCGCTGGCATAAGAAGATCCTAAAGAGCAACGACCCGCTTATTTTCTCCCTTGGCTGGCGCCGCTTCCAGTCTATCCCTATCTACAGTACATCGGACAGTCGGACCCGTAACCGAATGCTGAAGTACTCCCCAGAGCACATGCACTGCTTTGGTACATTCTACGGACCACTTGTTGCCCCCAATACCGGTTTCTGCTGTGTGCAGTCTTTCTCAAACAAGAACCCCGGCTTCCGGATAGCCGCCACCGGAGTAGTGATGAGCGTGGATGAGCACACGGAAATCGTGAAGAAGCTCAAGCTAACTGGTGTGGCTTACAAGATCTTCAAGAATACAGCCTTTATTAAGGACATGTTCAACTCGTCTCTTGAAATCGCCAAGTTCGAAGGTGCAGCCATCCGAACTGTATCTGGAATCAGGGGTCAAATCAAGCGAGCCTTGAGCAAACCCGATGGATGTTTCCGTGCAACTTTCGAAGACAAGATTCTCATGAGTGATATTATCTTCTTGCGCGCATGGTATCCCATCAAACCTCATCGTTTCTATAATCCCGTGACCAACCTATTGGACTTGGAAGAGAATGGAGAATCCGGTGACAACGGATGGCAGGGCATGCGACTGACGGGCGAGGTCCGACGTGACATGGGTATTCCAACGCCCTTGAACAAGGATTCCAAGTACCGCCAGGTCGAGCGACCCGAGCGCCACTTCAATCCTCTCCGCGTCCCGCGGCAGCTGGCTGCAGACCTTCCGTTCAAATCGCAGATCACACGAATGCGCCCACAGAAGAACAAGACTTATCTGCAGAAGCGTGCAGTTGTTCTAGGTGGCGAGGAAAAGAAAGCGAGGGACCTGATGCAGAAGCTCAACACCTTGCGAAACGAGAAGCAGGCCAAGCGTTCTGCGAAGCAGGAGGAACGGAGGAAGGTTTACCGTGCCAAGGTTGCAGAGGGTCTGGAGAAGAAGGCAGAGAGGGAAAAGAGGGAGCGCAACGACTACTGGCGGAAAGAGGGCAAAAAACGAAAGAATGATGATGAGGGAGGTGGCGGAGGAAAGAAGCGCAGGTAATGAGCTGGCTTCTTCTAAGCCAGCTGCGTATATATCCGCTGTTAAAAAGTGTATGGGATTATATTGTACCTACAAGTCGAGTCGCATTACCGATGGCGTTCAGTGATACCTACCCAGCAAAACAATCCAAGATTTTAGACACTGGCAGATTTGATTCTTCCACGAAGCTGTAAATCTAACACGCCTTCAATATTGATTGCAATTCTGTAATATGGCCATTCTATCACAGATGCATATACTGACGCCTTAGGCAATAAAAGGCACGTGACCGTGCCACAGACGCGTCGATCGCACGTGTCGGGCCGTTGACGCCGTGACGGCGTCCAAGTACCAAACCAACTCTCTCCTCGCAGCAGTAGCAGCAGCCACTAGCAGACCTGGACAAAAGAAACAGCTTCCCGGCAATTATCATTGTATTTTGTGTCGACGTTTACGGGTCCAACATGTCCTGAGCGTTTTCGCCTCTGCCTTCGCAGCACCTTGGCTCCCGAACCCCGACCCATGAGCCCGCAACAACTTCAAGTGGAGACATAAACCGTCAACGTCAACTTGTTGCTGGGTACGGCTGGAAGGGCCCGCGTGTGAATCTTCTAGAGACATACTCCTTGCGGCGATCGGCTTGACGAATATTGCTTAAGACACCAGTCCTTCAACTCAATCACTTAGATTGGAGACCTCGGTTTTTGCATGTTCTTACGTCAACGCCTAGAGAGTCCGGGGTATGCCGAAGTCATCCATACCTCGCGTTTATTGGAGCCATTGTCTTTTTTGCGGACATAGATCTTTTCCAAGCACCCATTGAAACTGCAAATTTTGTGCAGTCTCGGCTCGTGGATTTGGGAAAGCGTGCACGGCCAGTGTTGACAAGTACGGTGGGCGCTGCTGTCCTCCGACCACAATGGATAGCTCGCTGCAGGTCGATAGGCACCAAGGCGTGCAGAGTCCGAAACATTCATACCAGCATGAGACTAGTTCACATATTGAGGTACCTGGGAGGCCAGAGCATTATTCCGCGCGCTCTCCAGGAGTACGGCCCGTATCCCTAGAGCCGAGTTCAAGGGCGCATTTGAACGCGAATGGAGCTTCTGCAGCCTATGAAAAGTGGCCCCACGAATCTCCAGAGATGCCTCAAACATTCTCGTTGTCCCAGGATGGCTCGCGCTTAGGGCACGATATTGAAACGACGCCGGTGGGCGGTGGCCAAGGTGTAAGTGACGAGAGCGATATAGTACGGCTAGAAGCTTCAAGCTATACGAGGCCCTCCACAAATCCACCCAGTGTTCCAAATGCGTCGAGACTTGATGCCATTGGGCGGCGCCGCTCTCATAGCATAGGCTCTGGACCGCGCGGCTCTAGAATTGCTGCAGTAGGCCCCTCGCATTCTTACTCTCTCCCCTGATAAATACTGATCTTATTTAGTTATCTGTCCAGTTGCGTACGCGCTTATCCCATGCGGCCGCCAAAATTGAGAAAAAGCGGCGTCCGCATTCAATTCAATACCAGCCACCGATAGGTCTGCTGCAGAAAAATAGCTCGACACCCATCCTCAGCTTGGAGACGTTGTCTCAAACGGGGCATCCGCTTTCGATACATGATATTGATGGTCAGCGTTCGGTTGAAAATGGCTCACCCAGCGGAACCACTGTTTCCGCACCGGATGCTCCAGGAACATCTAGTCCTCATCCTCTTGAAACTCATATGGGACCATCCCTAGTAAGGGTAACGAGTGGTCTATATCCACAACCGCAGCCAGATCCCCAGAAACACATCGGGCGTGCATCATCAGAGCGGCCGGCTCCTCCAATACTGGCGCCACCAGCAGACATTGGTCCTGGACGTGGAAGCGGCCAGCGTCGTCGTCCAAACCCAAATATTCCGGGTAACTCCTCACGCTACACACCATTTCCCTTACACAGACGCTATCATTCGCAGCAAGACTTCCAAATGGATTCAGAAGTTGACCGAGTTCCTGAGACACCGCCCCTTCGACCTTCAACTCTGAACAATATAGCCCCTTACAACGGATTTTCTGATAACTCGCAAAGCTCTTCAATGGAGCAAGATGCTATTGAGACTCTTCTTTTCATGTCCAGCCCTGGTACTTCAGGGTATCACTCCAACTCTCAAAACTCACAGCCCCACCAGGACGTTAGGAATGTTGACAGTAGCACCTCACAAGGTGCACAATGGCACGGAAACCTTGATGACAATCAATCGAGAAACAGGCAGCCTGACCGTCTTTGTAATATTGAAACCCAGGCTGGGGATGAGATTGATTTAATCCTCGACCAAATGCACAGTGATAGTGATGACGACGCCAATTATGTCTCGAACCGCTCAACTCGTGTTGACACCAACTCCCGGGAAACTGAAGCGGAAGGGCACAAGTTTCGGTATCGAACATAGCGAGCTATGAATTAATCATTACATGCTCTCGGTTACGCTGATTAACGCTCATCGAAGACACAACCACTGGGCTCCACGATTTCGGCGCGTTGGTCCTCGTGAAATCTATCTGCGCTATGATTTTTCTGAACTGGCGTTTTGCGAAATGGGTAACTATGAGAGTCTTCGCAGATATGGGTATTTCCCGTGGTGAGCCGGGGAGTTTGTGGACAGCCCCACGGGGCAAGCCGCAGTACACCACTGAAGAGTCTTGCACTCGCCTTTATTGGCGCAGAGAACTACCCACCTATATGCCGTTGCTGAGATAGAAATACCTCACTCTCCCCCAGTTTTCTGATGTGCGAAAGCATTATTTCACAGTCTGATGCGTTTAGCTCCTCCCTGTTCCGAGAACGTTGAGCGTTGTGATCTACATTGGTTGCCAACTCTTCCCACACAGAAGGAACACACTTCTCAAAGCTACAGCATTCACACCCTCAATCTCGAATTTCGCAGAGGTTATACAAGACGGCCAGTTTCTGAGAATGGGCGATTCGCAGACCTCTCCGTCACCCTTCGAAGTCGGAGCTTTCCTCCCCGGCGGCCACCATACCGACCCCGCGCTCCCGGAAAATAGCCCCACGGCAGGGTTCAAGCTAAACCACTTCATGCTTCGCATCCGCGATCCAAAGCGCTCCCTCCACTTTTACATTGAACTCATGGGCATGCGCACGGTATTTACCATGAACACTGGCCCCTGGACTATTTACTATCTTGGGTATCCATCAACCGAAGAAGACCGCGCAGACCTCTCCGCCTGGTCCGCCAAGGTCGGAGATCCCCGCACACTCACACAAACCCTAGGCCTGCTTGAACTATACCATATCCACGGCTCAGAAAAACCAACTGCTGACGGTGGGTACGAGGTATCTACTGGCAACGCCCCTCCCAACCTGGGTTTCGGGCACTTAGGGTTCACAGTCCCTAACGTTCCTTCGACTGTTGAGCGTCTGAGAAAAGCGGGCGTGCCCATTCTCAAGGAACTAGGCGTCACTACTCGCGAGAGCATACCGCTGAGCTCATGGGAGGAGAACCGCGGTGTCGGCGTTGGCGAAATTCATCCTAACTATAAAGCAGTATTTGACCAGATTGCTTTCGTGACTGATCCGGTGAGCCCGCTTCCATCCCCGAACTGATACCTCCAAAGTAGTTGAACTTAGCTAACGAGGCGTTAGGATGGATACACGGTAGAGCTTGTCCCTCAGGCCATGAATTAGTCGCGGTGATAAGTTCACTCCCTGTCCCTCAGGACGACCAACATCATATACATTAGAGCAATCTATTAGAATAACATAAATTTGCCTGTTGAATTCTCATATTGAAAAGACCTGTGCCTTATGGTTTGGAGGGAAGATTCTGCCCCCCACCCCCCCCCGGCTATATCTTGTTTCTTTGACTCTCCCAAAGATGCTCATTGACAACGAATCGGAAAAGTTAATGCCATTTTTGTTGACTATTTAAAGGTGCCCTCCCATCTATTACCTGCTGCTCCTGTCTGATTTAGGGTTTCAGCTCCATCGCGCCTTTTCTCCCGACAGCGCACATGAAATAAGCGGGAACGTGATTGCCTCTACCAAATAGACAACACTTGCCCCTGTAAGTTGATGATGGGAAGAAAAAGAGAGCAGAACGAGCATGGTAGTTGGCAGAAGTAATCAAATGTCAAATGGTAACTAAGTAACCAACTAGTTATTCTTACTTATAGCCAAGTTGAGTTGCCACAGCGAAATAAATATATATTATCTAGACTCCCACGCCAAACTGACCAGGAGAGGCAACCCGGCAGAACTTGAACGACATATTACGCTAGATGGTACAAGCATATCAGATCACTCCACACCCCAGCTATCGTCGACCTCTGCGACATCATAATCAACGTCAGCATTCATGCTCCCATGACCCTCCTTCCCGCGAAGACCACCGGCTGGATCGACAGGTGCCGAATCCATAATCATATCTTCGTCAGAACCGGCCTTAGCATCCAGACCAGACGTTGCCGCAGAAGTTGATAGGTCGGTTGGTTGACTTGGTGAGGCGGATGGGATGGAGATAGGCGGGTTTGGAACCCACGTGAGCTGCACTTCGCCAACCGAGGGGATATCCCGGGGTCCAAACATGAACTTCTCGGCGATATAGCGTTCCTTGAATGCGATGATAAGGGAATCGCTCTCGTTGGGGTTTGGGGTGATTGATTCATATTCACCGACGCCCTGCGATTGCTCAGTTAGTTAGGGCTACTTGAAATATTTTCTTTTCTTGGGGATTGTGATCTAGAATTGGACAGATCAGGGATCAAGGTGACGCAGACTTACAATCAGGAATTGCCGGAATGCCTCGTCCTGCTCGGAGTTTGGCTTTATGCCCGACACTGCAACGCGCTTCGGACGATTATCAAGGCGCAGGACGCCACCTCGGCCGCGTGCAGGGAACCCGCCCCGGCCACGATAGGAGCCGCGAAAGCTCGGATCGTAGCCGCGACCACGTGGTGCGAAACCGCCTCTACCACCAAAGCCTCTCCCACGGCCGCGGAAAGACGAGCTGGTGTCAGGGGAGTTGTTGGGGTCTAAGCCTAGGCTCTTAGCCTCAGCTTCAAGGGCTGCAAGCTGGGCTCGTAGTTGTTTGGTTTGCTCGCTGGCATTTTCGTCAGACGGGGATTGGGTTGCTCCTCCATCTGGAGTGGCACTGCCGGATGTGGTAGCGCCGCCGATTCTTTGCAGGAGCCGTTGCTTTTCCTCTTCCTGCTTCTTGAGCAGCTCTTCTCGCTGTTTTTCTAGGTCTTGTTTCGCCTTTTGTGTTTCTTGACGTTGTTTGTGTTTCTCTTCGTAGGACTTCTGTGCTTCTTCCTGCTGCCTTTGGAATTCCTCTGCATCAAAAGGTTGGGGCTCCTCGCGGTTGCCATTTGCACCAGGACGTTGGTCGTGGTCCCTATCTCCCTTTGGCTTATGCCAGTACACTTTGACAAATCGGTTATCAAATATCACCTTCGGGCTAGACCATGCTGCCTTGGCCGTAGCATGGTCAACATATGTGATTAGAGCAAGTTTCCGGTGCGGCTGGAGTGAGATGTCTGTTATCTCTCCGTATTGAGAGAAGAAATCCCTGACTGTGAATTCATCAAGCTTGTCGTCGGGAATCTGCTCCACAACAATTGTTTTGACGGACGGGTCTTCACTGGGGCCAGCAGCGGAAAACTCAGACCGACGACCGCGGTTGGCAAAGCCGCCTCTGTCACCACCACGACCACGACCGCGGCCGCGGCCTCGATCGCCTCCCCGCATTGGAGCATCAGGCCGGCGTTTAAAGTCAGAAACAATATTGGATGATTTAGGGTCGTACTCTGCAGAATCCAAAGTCAGCACATGTATATTTTTGCAACAAAAAGTCTGAAGATAGCATGCTTACCATCATCCTTCGAGGCACCTTGCACTGTGTCATGCTGGTACGGACATGCAGCACCCAAGTAACAGATGCCCTGTGTCTCGTAAAAGGGGCATCTTTCCGTACTCTTGGGTCCCATTTGGTTTGGCTGCTCACCAGGGCCACCACCTCCCGGCGGCATAGGCATGGGTGGCATACCTGGCATCTGCGGGAATCCCATGCCTTGCATGGCCATCATCGCTGCCATTGGGTCATTTTGGTCGAAGCCAGGAAAACCCGGCGGCATGGCCGGGAATCCACCAGCAGAGGGATGAGGGAACTGCCCGTGTCCAGAGTGATTTTCTCGGCCCATCCAATCGCCTCGGCCACCACGCCCACGGCGGGGGTTCTTGAAGTTGCGGTGATGCGGAACGCCCTCACGCCCCTGGTCTTCGTTGAAGCCATCATCGTAGGTGCGTTTGCGACTCATATTTGAAGTGTCTCCAGGTGTCTGAGAGCTGTATGCGCCATTTGAAGGTCCTGTCGGCGGGTATGGTCGTGCGGATGGTTGGGGGGCTGACCCTGCACCTTGGGCATCTTGTATCTGGGCCTTTGCCGCAGGGGTCTGCTTAGGCGCAAACGTAGCAAACAGCTCCTCGACAAATTCGGTAGTATCTGGATATTAACAGCGAGTTAGAAAACGTATGATCTTCCATAATGAAAGCCACAGTGAAGGCCAAACTCACGCTCGCTCAAAAAGTCCTTCAGACTCTCAACAGAGGCGTTTCGTATTTCCTCGTCTGGTGCGTCAGACCGAATGAGAGCTAAAACGTAATCCGCAAGCACATCTGAATCTGCATCCGAACTATTTTACAGTTAGCCGACAAGATTGCCACGAAACGTCTGCTGCGCGCCTGATTTAACCGCCTTACATGTCCTCCAGCTTTTTCACCACCCACGCCTTGACTTCCGTCGCCTGGTCTTCTGAAAGCTGCATATCGAAGCAGTATTTATTGAAGACGACACGTCGGGAAAAAACGGATTATTCGTTTCGTAAATGTAAGCGAGAAACGTGGCAGCGAGGAGAATGGGAGGCAGCGCCGTGAAAGTCGTTCAACGCACAAGCGGCGCGGTTCAGAGAATTGGTATTTGGCGCGATATCAAGTCATCGCACGGATGATATATTGAGTGCGATAATGGATGTGCAAGACAAATGATGCAAGAGCAATGTAGCAAACAAAAAAAAAAAAAGCGACCTTGCGGACCCGAGGAGCTTGGGATGCGCGAGAACCAGACGCGGAGGCTCACGTGACCCCATGGGCCTCCAGCTTCATCATCCGAACAGTCAGCCAAAGGCCAAAGGCAAAAGGCAGAAAACTACTCTTACTACTCCGTACGTTCAAATAGATTTGAACATTGAACAATATAATATTTTTTCGTGTCCAACTAGAGAATAGCAACTAATACGTAAAAGTCCTCATAGTCGTTAACGTAACAAAAGGAAAAGCAAAAGGCCATCGCAAATGCATGAGCACACCGGTTTCTACTATTCTAGTTAATCGAAAACCCATACGATGTTAAGCTGTATTGCATCGGTTTAATTTTCTTGCACGGTTGTCTCCCTTTTAGCGTTGGCCGGGTATTGCGTTCATCAATCTCATAAACATAGGATTCCAATCCAAACAGACTTGAAACCTAGTCGTTTTGCATAGAACGTTTTTACAGCTTGTCGTAGTACTGTCAAGAATGTTAGCAACTGGACGGATCGCATACATGAATCATTGGTAGGAAGACTTACGTTCTCGTAACCAGGGACCACCTCCTTGATACCCTTGCGCTTACGCATCTCAGTAACGATCTGACCAGGCTTCGTGGTGGTGTCGAGAGGAGAGCCACCAGGAAGGATAGCCCAGTGGTCAAAGACGGACTGAGGGAAGGCCTGGCCACCAGTGGCCTGGCGGAGCTCGCCGGGGAAACCGAAGGACTCGTTGACGGGCAGGTAGGCCTTGACGGTGAACAGAGGAGTACCAACACGCTGCTCCTCGGAGTAGACGTGGCCACGACGGCGGGTGAGGACACCATAGATACCACCCATGGCCTGCTCGGGCACCTGAATTTCGACGTTGAAGATGGGCTCCTGGATACCGGGGTCGGCAAGCAGAGTAGCAGCGTACAGGGCACGACGAGCGGTGGGGATGATCTGACCACCACCACGGTGAATAGCATCAGCGTGAAGGGTAACATCAAGGATGTTGAAGCGGATGGAGCGCATGGGCTCCTCGGCAACGGGACCCTCACGGGTGGCCCATTGGAAACCGGAGACAACAGAGTCCTTGATTTCGTTAAGGTACTGGACGGCCTTGGTCTGGTCAACCAACAAGTTGGCACCAGTGGTGTCGGGACCGAAACACCAAATCTTACGGGCATCGGTGACATCCCAGCCGTGCTCATCAGCAAGGACACGAGCACGAGCCTTGAAATCGTCACGGGGGGTGATCTTGCCCTCCTCGATAGCCTTGGAGACTTCCTCGTCAAGGGGCTCGGCAGTGAGGTAGAGACGGTTGTGCTTGTTGGGCGACTTGGACAGAGCAGTCATGCTGGAAGTGCCACCGACAGTCTCACGGTAGGAAACGACAGGGTCGGAGATGCGGAGGGGGACACCAGCGTGGTCTTCCTCGAGATCCTTCAAGCAAATTTCGAGGTGGAGTTCACCAGCACCGGCGACAACGTGCTCACCGGACTCGTTGATCATGGTCAGGACACAAGGGTCAGACTTGGACAGACGCTTAAGACCTTCGACAAGCTTGGGCAGATCACCAGCGTTCTTGACCTCGACGGAGCGCTGCACGACAGGGGAGACAGAGAACTTCATGACCTTCAAGTTGTGGGCGGTGTCGGAGGTGGTGAGGGTACCAGACTTGAGCAAGAACTGGTCAACACCAACAAGACCGACGATGTTACCAGCAGGAACATCCTCAATGGGCTCAACGAAACGACCCATCATCAGGATGGTACGCTGGATGGCCTTGACGAAGAGATCTTCCTTCTTACCAGGAGTGTAGTTGGGGCCCTGGATGCGGACCTTGAGACCAGAGCGAACAGTACCGGCGTAGACACGACCGAAGGCGTAGAAACGACCCTTGTCAGAGGTGGGAACCATCTTGGAGACGTAAAGCATGAGAGGAGCCTTGGCGTCACAGTCACGGATACCAATGCAGCACTCGTCATCAGAAGGACCCTCGTACAGAGTCTCGGCACGGTACTTCTGGGCAGTAACGGGAGAAGGAAGGTGGATACAGATCATCTCCAACATGGCATCAGCGGCGGGAAGGAACTTGCGCATGATGGTCTTAAGGAGCTGCTTGCCAGTAAGCTCCTTCTCGTCGTTGGCGAGCTTAACTTCGATCTTCTCGAGAAGAGCAGGAATCTGGTCCTTCTTGTCGTTGTTAACGAGGTTGAAGATCTTGTAGATGGGGTCGAGGATGAACATGTTGAAAGCACGCTCAACGGGCTTGCCATCGATTTCGGGCTGAGTCTTGGTCCACTTCTTGGTCTTGGGGTTGAAGTAGTTGTCACCCTGAAAATAGAAATTAGCCAACCCATACCATAGAAAGCAATAGTTCAAGTTGATTACTTACCCAGAGGCGCTCCAACATCTTCTTGCGGTCAACACCGAACTTCTTGGCGAACTTGACGGCGAACTGGCGGACGGTGAAAGCCCAACCGTGGAGACCTGAACCGAAAGCAACGGTACCGTTGGCCGGCTCGACCTGGACGTTGCCAAGGGCAGGGTCTTCGTAGGTAGCGATGATGACGTTGACGGACTCAACGGTACGGAGGAAAGACTGGTACAGGTCCTCCTTCTCGACCTGGAGTTCGAGAAGCGAACGGTCGACCTTGTTGATGATAAGGACGGGCTTGATACGCTCAGTCAGAGCCTGGCGGAGCACAGTCTCGGTCTGGACGCAGACACCAGAGACACAGTCGACGACGACAAGGGCACCGTCAGTAACACGGAGGGCAGCAGTGACTTCAGATGAGAAGTCAACGTGACCGGGGGAATCGATCAAGTTGATCAAGAACTCAGAGCCATCGACGGCCTGGGGAATTTCCTTAAGATCCTCCTCATCGGGGAACTTGGCGTAAAGAGAAATGGCAGTGGACTTGATGGTAATACCACGTTCCTGTTCATCAGGACGGGTGTCCATGAAACGGGCATCACCAGCCTTGGCCGCAGCAATGATACCGGCACGCTGGACCAGGGAGTCACTGAGGGTGGACTTTCCGTGATCGACTATTGTAACACTCAGTATTCAAAATTCACCAGTGAACAGAAGCAGGTCTTCATCTAGTACGCACCGTGAGCAATGACCGACATGTTACGGATGTTGGCCTTGCGGTCCATGAGGGACCGAAGCTAGTAATCGTTAGTTTCATACCACCTCCAAGTCGATAAAAAAATTTATAGCTCCGGGGACTCTCGGATATCCATGGGTGACGGGGGAACGGCATACCTCCTCGATAGTGAAGCTGTAAAGGCAAATGTTAACACACAGATCAAAAGCATTCTGATAATCACCATGATGGTGAGGGATGAAAAAACATACTTAACCATTTTGGCGGTTTTTTTCTGTTAATGCCTTAGAGGCGGGGTTCTTGTGAGGAGGGGAGCAAAAAGGGAAGAGAAAAAGAAGTAAAGCAGAAAATGACACACAAGGGACAGGACCGAGAGCTAGCTCGACCTGAAGATGACCTGGGATATGGGAAGGTCTATGTGCGCTGCTCCAGAGGGAGAGACTGAGGTAGAAGAGGGTTGAAAAAGAAGAGGAGGAAGAGGAGGGAGAGGAGGGGAAGGGCAGTGGAAGAGTGCAAGCAAGCGAGTTAAGTGGTCGTGGGGCCGGCCGGTGGTTGGATTTTTCCCGAGTCCAAATCTGGGATGTGCGTTTTTTCCACCCAATTCCCGCTTGTGCCCCTCCGCCGTTTATCTCCGGCGCCAGCTTTTCTTTGGTTGTTTTTGGCCCTTTGACTCGATATTTACTTGATAATGACTGTGTAGATGCAAGTGACTGTTTTTTATTGGAACGGTATCCAATCTCTTGTTTGTACTGGAGGTGGCTTTCGTCTCCGCCCTCGGTCGTCCATGGGCTTTTACATCATGAGATCCAGTAGCTAGTCATCATAGACTTCCTCTCGGAAAACTTACTCATTTCTGACTCAAAATAGCCCTCCAGAATCCTTTCTACACGGCCAGTCACATACCAGCTGATACTAAATCTATCTGAGGAAATCCCAGGAGTGCAACTATGGTTGGTAAGCGCTTGGCTACAATTTTGCAGGACCTTGATCGCAGGGCACACCGCTGTGCTGTTTGGACGCTCTCCTGACCAATCATTGTTGCCAAATGAAATCAGTGTCGACCTCCGGTTTGTTGCCACTCCATAGTTATCCTGTTGGGAGAGCTGTGCTGCTGCTAATTTCCGTAGCCCTGGTGAGGGGCATTGGTGGGGTAGTAGCCGCTTATTAATCGTCAGAAGCTCTGAAAGCTCTGCAAAAGCACAAGATTTGATTGGGCAAGCTTGGTGGAATTGGGACTCACAGTCCCAAACAAGCTTAGCTTCAGCTGTTGACCCCGCCCGATTCGGCTTGACATGGCGCTGCTTTTACGACGGATGTACTCCGTACTTGCGGACTCTTTTCTTGGTCGGGACTTGATTCAATTCCTGAAGTTAGCCAGATGAATGCCATTTATAAACTTGGATATAATCGCACTGGTAATAATATTCAAATTTAAATACATTATGCAAGGGCAACGCCGCTTGGTAATGGCTATTAAGAGGACCACAGTATCTTAGCATAGGCGTCCTCGACCTCCTTGGCTATCTCCAACAAAGTCACAATGATGATCTGGTGCGTAACATTCGGAAGCTTCTCTCGTTGAAGGCCAATCCACTCTAGCGGCGGTGTCGCCTCGCCCATATCACGCAGTTGTGGGGTCTCGATCACCGGCGGCTCCATTGCCACATACTTGTATTTGGATTGCGGCACATTGACAACCGCAGTAATCTTTTCTTGCTGTTCACTCTTATCCCCGCCACCTTCTGCATTCAGGCCTCCTGTAATGCGAACGGCCGATGGCGGAAGCGGCTTGCCTAGTCGTGAAGTCAATGCACGAGAGTGAGCCTCCCACATATCGCGGATGAAACTGATGCGTGCGTAGTTCCAACCAACGTCGACTTTACCTTCAAAGCTGCTGCGGAAAACATACTCAATTTGCGTAGACCCTGGTCCTTGCCACGTTTCCATGCCGGCCACCACTCGGGGAACTTTGAGGATCGTTCCGCCAGTGGTTTCTATCACGCGGGTGGCAGTCTCGTTGACAAGCAGTTGCTCAACAGCCACGGGGTCAGACCGAGAGATGGGGGAAAGCGCGACACGTAATTGTCCTAGTGTGAGTCCCAAAGCGCTATGTATTTTACCTTTGTCCAGCGACACGTCGAACCGAGCTTGGGCTTCGCGAGCTTCCAACTTGAAAACATGGTTGTCAAAGAATGTGCTTGGGAAAACTCCAATATGGACTGCATGGATTGTCACGACCACACCGGTATGCAGAGAAATCGGGGCAAGCTCCGATTTATCTTCAGTTCGCTTCGCCGCTTTGTGAGTCGACAATTCGGTCCGATCAGAGAAAACAGAGCCTTTTCGACGAAGATACCTTTCAATCTCTCTCAGTGAGGCTTCATAAGCTGCTTGTTTGTCTTGCATAAGCTTCTGCCAAGCCTGAAATAATGCAAGAGATTGTGACGCAGTCAAGGTTGTGCAGAACACCTGGACCTGTCCACCGTCGAGGATACTAAACAGTCTCTCATTCGAATCATCAGAGGATCCTTCGACATTATACATCAAAAAGTCAAAGGATGCTATGTGTGCAATAAGGAAGGGCTGGTAATCAAAAGACACCTTAATCTGAAGCTGATCAAAAGATATCGAAGCCTGTATCAAAGGTGTCTTGATGTCTGAATTATCATCCGGCCAATTGATAGAAGAACGGAGTCTGATAGTTTGAAATTCAGCCAGGCCACTGAGCCTACCCTTGCTTTCGATCCCTACAGATTTGAGGCCGACACAAAGGATCTGCTCACGAGCAGATGTCTTTCTCGATGACAGCCATAGGTCATCAATTGCAAATTGTGCCTTGCCTAACGTAGATCCCATATCAAGTTGAATGGCCACTTTTTCGATCGCAATAGTGGTGTTCAATGGGAACGCCGGTGTCGAAGCTAACTGCTGATAGCGCTGTACGATGTAGGCCTGTGTCTCTGTGGGCTGTGGCTCGAAGCTTGGGCTCGAATCCAAGGACTCATTTGCTGGCACCCAGATCTCACGGAACAGTAGGAGATCTTGGACTTGCCTCGCGTTGAGCATGACTTGCATTGGGCTTACTCGTAGCGCGGCCGAGATTCCTTTCGATTTACCTAAATGTCGGCTGTTCATCAATGACATGATTATCGAGTTCACCTCAAAGCCTGCTGTCGACTCGTTGGAGTATACGTGTTTGGCGGATGCTCTGAAATCGTTGAATGCCATTGACAGTGCGAGGAACCGTTCGTCATCATCAGATTGAACGGTATTTACTGCGACATAGACACTCTCAAATCCCGCGGTAGCAGCGACTCGAGCGATAGGTTGGCAGCTCAAGCTGAACTCTTGTTTACAAATCAAAAGGCCAAGGTTCAACTTGCAGCGGCCCAGTACCGAGGCGGGATCTTTGCCGTCGAGGGGCGTCTCCTGCATAAGCTTTTGCGGCTGCAGCATTGTGGTGTTGGAGGGTCTTCTAGGCTTTGACTGCTGCTCACCCATGACTTCTTTCACTGTGGCAGACACCTGCTTCACCAACGGCACAATGCTTGGGTATAAGACATTTGTGGACGCGTCAATCTTCAATTCTGCATTAAGCGTGGAGTCTTCATGAGCAGCATCCTCAAATTGAACCTTCAGTGCAACACCGGGTGCACGTAATGTTGCAGTAGCTGAATAATCGTCTCGGGCAGACTGGCCGTACTTCGACTCTGATGGTCTATTTCCTTTCAAAGTAGCTGAAAGAAGCGTTTGTTGGTCGTTACTCTGCCTCCCTTGCAGGGAAACAATTGCCCCGGCAAAGTCAACGTCTACAAGAACCGAGCGAAGACGTTTGTTCCCAAATAGAGAACGCTGTTTCACACTGTCGTCAGACGGTTTTGACATGCTGATAGTGTTGGCATCGCGGATAGTCTTGACCGCGGAGGCAATCGAGTTCCGTATCATGTTTCCGGGCAAAATGAAATCAGACGTGGCTCGTATATCTAACGATTTTCCCGCAGCTTGGAGGGCCACACGAACGTCTTTGGCCATTGAAGAGTAGGCAACATTAAAAACCAATTCAGGTAGTAAGGCGGAGTTAAGAGACCGTTTCCTCCTATCCCCTGAGATAGGGACCATCTGTAGTTGGACATCCTCGATCCGAAGCTTAGCAGCAGTAGTTTTCTTGTTTGACAAATCGACACGTTGGATTGAGAACACCATGTCATCAGGCCTGCGGTTTGACGTGTCCTGGGAGAAAGTAGCCATGTTCCAAACCACCTGAATATTATTAAGGGCGAATGAGAATATGGCACCAAAAAGGTCATCTCCATGAGCGCCATCACCGGGCATATTGACAGTGGGGATTTCTGGAGCTTTTGTCTGGGAATGAACTCGATGTCGTAGCTTCTTCAAACGCTTGACTTCATGAGAGAGGTCCATGGTTTTCATCCGTTCCTGAAGATGAGCAGCTACATCCACGACAAGTGCAGCCGCCTCGGGGAAAAGTTCGATATCACAGCTTTTGCTGGTAAGGTGGAAGGCTTGCAAGGACTTTCCATTTTCATCGGTCGTAGAAGTCCCTTTGATCTTGGCATCAACGGCGAAACTGCAATACGAACGAACACTAAAAGTGCCCTTCTTGCTCAAATCAAAGCTTATCTTGGAGGTGTCAACCTGAAATTCGGGGTACTCCATCGGGTAGCCAGCTTCTAGGCCATTGTCAAGACGCATTCGTATCATTCCAAGATTGAATCCCATGTCAGCCGAGTAATTTTTGCCGTTTAATCCAGGCGCAGTTGCGTGTATCTTCGTGCCTGCCATTGTTGTTCGGGCCCTATAGAGAAATATCGAGTCCGATGTGCCCTTGTGTTGCGACGGTGTACTATCCAGGCCAAGCACTTCCCGAGAGTGCAGTTCCAAGGAGTCCATGTTTTGTTTGAGATCAGAGATCAAGTGCGAGAATTCAGGCCTTGTTAGGACGCCAAGGAGGCTTCGCACCGCGCTTGCCTGAAGCTCTATCAGCTCAATTGTGATATCGGCCTCCATTTCTGTACGGTTTGGAGATATGTTCGCCATTACTCGACCGTTGATTGGTGGGATTACAAGCTCCGCTAAGGGTAGCCAGTTTCCCCTCTCGTTGGAGAGGAAAGTATGACGGTTCTGTTTCAAGTCGAAGTCGATTTCCATTTTCGGTTCAAGCCGAGATATGATGGAGGCTCTTGCTACATCACCAGAGATAACGTATGCCAGAGATGGGAGGATGCTTAGGGCTAAGCGATAGTCATCCAGGAATGTCGCAACCTGGAACTTATTCTGCGAGGATTTCTGGATTGTAGTCTTTGTAGGAGACTGGGGCTCCGGCAATTTCAAGTTCTTGATGAGTCGGTGAACGAACTGAACTTCATCATCTATTAGACGGTCCGCCATATGAGCAAGGCCCAGCGGGTCATCATTCATGTCAAATCTTAGTTTTCGGCTTGACAAGACGACCTTCCAATCATGCTTCATCTCAGTCGCTGTTTTCTCAGTAGTGCGAGAGCAGTAGACGTGGGGATCGGTAAATCTCCATTGCATCATGACCTTCGAGAGACTGGAGAGGTCCACAGACGAAGTTCCAGAACTAATTAGCAGGCTGGTGCTCTTGTTCTGGTTGTCTAAGGGCTTTAAAACGGCTGAACTTCTGAGAGCTTTTCCAGTGACAGCCAGTTTAAAATTGATACCGTCGACAATCAAAGCTCCTAAATCTGTACCGAAGATTAACTGCAGCTCGTCCTGTTCTTCTATCCCACTCTCAGGGGGCTCATCCGAAGTTGCAGATTCTAGTGTCACGGTAGACATGGCTTTCACTAGCCCCTCCACCAGATCTAGAATCTCCCACCTAAGGTGAAGATTAATCGAAGAGCAGTAAGACTCCACAGTGACCAGAGAGTCCGACTTCAGCACAGGGCTCATTTGCTGGTCTTTTCGGATACTAGATGTGATGACCGAGGATAGATCCTGGACGACAAAATCGCTCTCTCTCGGTCCAGGATCAATAGAGAAACGAAATAATTTGACTGTAGAGGAAAAACAAGCCGTCGGCGAGGTGCCTCCAGAGGTTGTTGTATCAAGTGAGTCCCATATTCGTCGCATCACGTAGCTCTTTTCGACGTGAGCTAGATCCCAAGCTCGCCACTGATCAAAGCCAGAGAGAACGACACTCTTCGCATTTGGGAGCAGTGTAATGTCATCTAACATGCACTGGTCGACCAATTCTCTTTGTTGCTTGGCTGAGAGGTTGTTAAAGACGTTTCGGATACGAGAGAGGATCTTCCAAGAATCGTGGTGTCGTAAATGTCCAGAGGCAATTCTAAGCATATAAGAAACGCGAGTCAAGAATGCAGGATCCGGTATATGTGCAGCAGATTGCGTAAGGTGATACATTAGGAAGCGCAATCTTTTATGTCGACGTGTGGAGTTACTCTTAAACCCGGATGTTGCAGAGTCAAGCATGGTGGTTGTGCGCCGAACAAGGTAGGCGAGCTGTTCAACGGACTTGGTGGAGGTGACTGTATCAAACGCACGAACCTGCAAGCTTGATCTCGTCATGGGCAAGGTCACAATCCAGAAATTCACGTCTCCCAAGAGACAGCTGACTTGAGATTTCTGCCGGTATTGGTCAATTTGGCTACTTTCGACTGATATCGATAAACTTTCAGCGGCCGCATGCGCAGTGATAGTTTTGGTGATACCCGCAGAAAGATCCCCCTTTTTTCGTTCGATTCTTGTTCTAAACTGGGTGTTCAGGCGAGAAACTTCCAGTATGTATTCGTCTCTAAAATTGGCTTCGTGGTCATCGGAAGATTCAGAGTTGTTGACTAATTTCATTGAGATCGCTGGAGCTTGAACAGAGAAACTCGTAGCTTTCTTCGGTCTTTTTAAAGATTTCTCGGAGGTTATTATATCTGATATGATGTCTTTCTGCAGCGAATCAATCATTTCAACCGGATGTCGAAGCTCAAGAGAATCGAGTAATTCCGAAAGTAGGAATAGAAATCTTGGTGTGCAAATGCCCCTTACTCCCTTGTGTAATTCAACGATAAAGTTAGTATGAGTTGTATTGTCGTTTTCAAACGGTGAAGATCGATGGTCAAAGTTCGGTGCCATACGGTCAGCTTTGGAAGTGCGGGCATCTGACACTTGACTGGGAGGCAGTCGAGACGTGTTCAATTTCATGAGATGGAGAGTAAATTCAGGGATGCTCCAGGCGCTTGCATTATTCCGAGGCATCTTTTCGGAAGCGCTTTCCCCATATCGGGGTGAACTATGGTCTGTCTCGTCCCTACCCTGTCTAGTATATCCCTGATATCGGCGTATGGAAGACGACACACTCCGGGTTTCGTTCATACTAGCTGTCCCTCTTCTTACTCTGTTCCCGCTGCTTGATGCGTCTGAATGCAGAAGGAAGCTCCTTGGGCCGCTTCTGTCCTGAGCATAAGCTTCCGGTGATAGACCCAGCAATCCAGAATCTTTGAATAGAGGTTCAGGCATCGTTGGTATGGCGATAGTGGGCCCGGGTGTCATATCCTGATCCGGATATCGAAAATCCTGTTCAATGTCGTCCCAGTCAAAAAGTAGCCATGGTGTTCGTTGGGTTCTCTGGTCGTGGACTCTAATATGATCTTGTTGGAGTTTCCGGTCATCAACAATGTCATTTTTCCGTTGCACCATCTTCAGGCTTATGGAAGTTTGAATCAAAGCTTGCGGAAGGACATCAGCGTTGCCAGATTTGCCAATAGAGGTGCGGTCGATTGTGGCAACTGATAGGTCAGGAACAAGCAGCCCCATACGCTTTGTGAACTTAGCATTTGCCCAGTCATTAAACTTCGTCGTCACTGTCCCGGACTTCAGTATAAGGGCCTCCTTGTCCATGAGAACGGAAATATGAACCAAAGAAATCTGAGCCCGTAAGAATGTCACATCGTGGAGAGCAATTGGGACAAGAGGCGGAAGAGCATTCTCCTCGTTGTCAAAGGAAAAATCGAAACTCTGTAACGCACTACCCAACGACGATAAAAACTTGGGAGAGCATTCACCAACTATTCTCCCGATGTCAAAGTCCCAATTGCAAACGTAAGTTGGTTCCGCAGGAGGGAGGCCAAAAATACGATGCCCATATACCGAAGCACCATCGATAAATAATTGAGTGTCCGATATTATGGGACACTCTTCCTTCACGTGTGATTCCAATGCAGCTCTCAACGGAGCAAGTGAAAATTGCAAGTCCATGTAGTAGTTCGTAAATCTCAAGTCGATATCTAGACAAGGGGCAGTGAGTCTCACGTAATTATGATCGTCATACAAGTTCTCTGGTAGAAGAGCACAAGGATTGTCAACCGTGACATGCAAAACAACATCTAGATCATTCGTTTTCTTGTTTGGATTGATCCCATTGTGTGCTGCGGAAGCATCCCCAGCGTATGCGACCTCTTGGTACTCCTCCAGGGTCTTGAAATGCACATCTTCGCCAAAATAATTCTCTTTCACGGTCATGAATGACTTGATAAGAAACCCAAACAGGTAGAGTTTCGGAGACATTCCATGCAGGTTGAGCAGTAAAGTATCCGTTAGCTCAGAGGATGTGGAAAGAAAGTAGTTGTAGGTGCCATCGATTGTCAGGGTATCCAAGGCAGCTGTTGTTTTGTTCTTCAAGAACGTGTGCAGCGTGTCCCACATTGGGGCTATGAAGTCAATTTCCGCCTTTCGAAGAGAGACATTGAAGTCTACAGCATTTTGCTCTGCGCAGAATTTGTCCAGTGGAATAACAATATCCGAACTTAGCTCCATGCCCTTGATAGCAAGTAACCGGTTATCACCGAGGTCGGTAGGGTCGCTGACGATGTTCGAGTCGTTGACGTTGATGAAAAGCTGGATGTTCGTAAAAGACAGACTCAAACGGTAGATGAAGGGAACAAAGGTGTAGTAATCCGATGAAGGGCCGGAGCCCCAATCTGTGATTAGGTCTGTTAAAAGGAATATATGGTCCCTCAGCAGAAAGAGCTCCATGTCATGATTCTTGACGTCAAATTTCCAAGCACGGAGCGTTTTCCAAGAGAGTGGAACTGATAGGTCACAAGTAATGAGTTGCCTTGGACAGGTCCACAATAGAGCATGGTTGACACTCGACGACATCTTCGAATCACGAATGTCAATATCAAGCTGACTTGCAAATCCCGACTTCCCCGCCGCCATATCCATGGTATAGTTGATAGTTGAGTTGTCAGCGATACGAAGTGAAAACCACCCAAAGGGGCGAATATCGGGTCCAATGTTGCCTTTCTCGCCTTCCGCAGCTCGTGTCTGCTTTCCGCGTTGTTGCTTCTTCAATTTGGATGCGCCTCGTACTGCATCCCCACGTCCTTTCCACTGCCAATCTTTGGACGGTTCACGTGTGGGGATGCGAAGGATGGTTTCTTGATCGAATTCAACGCGGAACCTAAAGATTGAGCTTTGTCTTGGTTCACCTGGGTGCAGGGGTTCCGCAGGTTGGGAATTTCGGTAGGCATTTGGGAAAAAAATGTTTTGTAGTCCAACACGTTCCCTATCAGCCCATGGCCCGTAGTTAATAAGCCCACCGTCAATTTTCACGTCAATACCCCATTCCGGCGGAGGAGCGCCATTGATATCCTGAGATGTCGCGTGTGGGGCACCTTCAGAAATGGAATGTGATCTCACGTCCCCGGGGATATCCCAAAAATATATGACAGTCATGCCGGGGCTATCCAAAATCGTGGAAAACCTGCCATATTCTATGGCGTCCCATTCGGAATGGTCATCTTGACTGCCCTGGTCTAAGTAACGGGAAAGTCCAACCCAGTGGGAATCACGGTTAGCATTGATCGTATTCCGTGGGTTTGTGCCAGCACGCTTGTCAGATATGTGGAAAGATTCGACCGAGGTCTGAAAATATGGAATGAGATCGCGGATACTATGCCAAACCCTACGTTTCTGGAACTGGTAGTTGAATATGGTGTCTCTTTTCCTTTTTGTTCCAGGTTCCTCCTCCCGTGTTGTGCTTAGCCCTTGCGCAGCAGCTAGTTGAGTCTGTTTGTAATCTGGATTGGGCCTCATTTGCACAACTGGATGGTAAAACTTGAAGCTAAACACTTGCCGGTAAATATCAAGTGAGCTGGCGGCTGAACAAGCCTCGATTAAACCAGTCCCAGAGTCGAATGTTGTAGTCAGGACAGATCTTGTGTTTTCATTCCCCATGACTATCGCGCCCTTGTCACAATCAATTTTCAGCGGCAAAATTTGGAGCAAGCTAGGCAAGCATGACCCTATCTCCTGCCCGGAGGCATCGCCTTGTTGGGAATACCGTCTACCATCCTTTACCTCACTATGGGCAGTGTCACCATCAGCTGCAGGTACGCGATCTGATGGCCTCTCATTTGAGAAGGTGGCGGTAGGCGGGTTGTCCTTCAAACTAGCGTCTGACGAGGCGCTTTGAGAACCAGGTGATTGCGCTGGTTCTGCGCGGTTGAACCCAGCGAGAATGCCATCATAAGCCGGTGTCCGATTATATATAAACCATTCTAGTCCGTAAAGTTTAGTCGTGATGCGACAAGGAAGATTAGCGGGGCAGTCGATCCCTCCTTTCTCGCCACTGCTACCATCCTTGCTGCCGCCATCTTCAGCATCTCCCGGTTGTTGGAATCCTGTCCAGGTCGTGGATTTGAAACACGAGAGATTCGTACGCCTCACCGCATGCTTCCAGAAATTCCAGGTGATAAATCCTCCATGTATGAAGATCGTCTCGTTCACCCCGTGATATCGAATGCCCTTAAAGAAGACCCTCCCTCCAATAAGGGATATCTGGAGCGCGTTTATGTCGACATAGGCGCGGTAGTAATGCCATGTATAGGCCCGTATGCCGTACGATAAAAGGGTCGCAAAGAGTCGATTAAAATAGAGTAGGAAGAAAAGGACCCTAAAGCAAGATTCTTGTTAGCCAATGGCATGGGAGTTGTGTGGGAAACTATCCAACTTACAGGATACAAGACACGATTATTTGGAGAAGAAAGAACCTATAAAACGGTGAGAAAGGCCAGCTAACCACAGCAGGGGCCATACCAATTGAAACTTGGATCCGGGGTCAGGGCCAAAGTCGTGAATGATGAAGCGGACATTTCGTAATACCCGTGGAGTCGCCGATAGTCCTCAACATGGCCGCCGGAATCAAATAGTTTCCCTCAACACGACAACAAGCAAGTCAAGGATGATCGTGTCCATCAATAGTGTCATCTTCAATTCCGGCCCATGACAGCGCCCGAGACTCCCTTGGATTTCTAAAGCAGAGGGGATGGATGGTGGAGAGTGGATGTGATAAGAGAAGGTCCGAAGGCGGTGGGAGATGGGGAAAAGAACGGGGAAGCTCCAAATGGGGTCACGTCAAGCTGCATTTCTGCAGCCTGCTTGTATGTCCCCTTTGCAGGTATCTGTGCAGTATTCTACATTCTCGCCTATCTCCAAATCGGCTTATTTCGCGCGTACATGGTCGGCCGTGTGTGATCTCCTTCCACAGAACTCTCCTGTTCTCCGCCATGCTTTGATCGAGCTGTGGTCAACGCACGCGGTCGAATACCGCGAGTCTTCGCGACAATGATAATAGCTTCGTCGTCTGGTGGGACAGGCTCGAGCTTAGCCCGAGCTGCAGTAATAGTCGCTGGTGTCTCCTCACTAGTTGCCACACTGCTCTCTTTTGTGTACGGACACAGCTTCTCCCCTTCTTGTAAGGAGTTATACTGACGGCGCATCTCCCTACTAGGTCTATATGGCTTCAAACGTACGACCACGGCCCTATAACCCTTGGCCTTACTCTTGTTCTCGGATCTGTACTTATTTATATATTTCAGGAAAAACTACCGCAAACCGCTTCTTCAGCGATATGTTGTTCGCATATTATTGATGTCAGTATTGGACTTCAGTGGACTGCTGCCTGTGCTCCGCTTACTGTAACAGGGTCCCAATATACGCAGCATCTTCCTGGGCGAGTATAATATCACTGAAAGCGTCACTATGGCTGGCTCCTATTCGCGACGTATATGAGGTAATTCCGAATTCCAGCAACATGTTGCATAGCCAGCCGTTAACGGATCGAATCGCAGGCCTTTACGATCTATACTTTCTTCCAACTCCTCATAAACTTTCTCGGTGGTGAAAGGGCTGTCATTATCATGATGCATGGTCGCCCTCCAGTTCAACATGCCTGGCCACTCAACCACTTCCTATCTAAAGTCGATATCTCCGACCCACACACCTTTTTAGCCGTCAAACGCGGCATCCTACAATACACATGGCTAAAGCCAATTCTCGCCATCGCTTCCATTGTAATGAAAGCCACGGATACATATAAAGAGGGCTACCTGGGCTTGTCATCCGGCTACCTTTGGACTGGCATCCTGTATAATATCAGCGTTTCCGTTAGTCTTTATTCGCTGGCACTGTTTTGGGTCTGCCTTCACCACGATCTAACGCCCTTTCGACCGATCCCCAAGTTCCTCTGTGTCAAGCTCATTATATTTGCCTCCTATTGGCAAGGATTCTTCCTGTCTATCCTTCAGTGGCTTGGAGCTCTTCCCAACGGTACCGGAGACTATACTCCGAATAACCTCGCCGCTGCAATCCAAGACAGTTTGACGTGTTTTGAGATGCCCATGTTTGCGGTTGCTCACTGGTATGCGTTCTCATGGCACGACTATGCGGACTCGACCATCTCCGCTGCTCGGCTGCCGGTTAAATACGCCCTTCGTGATTCTTTCGGCGCAAAGGATTTGATCGAGGATACTAAGATAACCCTGCGCGGCGAGAACTACGGGTATAGGCTTTTTGATTCAGGTGACCATATCATTGCCCATGAAGAGTCCAATTCACGAGTGAGGCGAGTCATGCACGGTATGCGATACGAGCGCGGCGGGAAAGGGAAGTACTGGATCCCCAAACCCGGCGAGGTCAATAGTCGAACTCCCTTGCTCGCCGGCTCTGAAGGTAGCAGCGGCACTCGACGCAGTAGCACCCTTGACCGGTACCGTTCCCGCAGCGAATCCGAAGAAACTACTTTGGACAACGATGATGAAAACCTATTTTCCCAGGCCCGAGAATTGGAATTCGGCGACTTCAACGTAAGTGAACTGAGGACCCAATCCAGCTAGAAAGGAAGACCAAATACTGACCTGAGTTAGTATCCCGTTATCACCGCCAATATAGTTCCAAGAGACCAACGCCTGGCTAGTCCTACTCCTTCCCCATCTACACAGCAACCGCAATTGGTGAAGAAGGCGAGGAAAAGCAGAAAGATACGAGCATCAGACGGTAGCCATGGTGGCACCGAACGCCGTCTCTCTGGGAGTTCACGGCGAGATCGCCCTGAGAACCCAGATCTGCAACGGCGTGATTCTAACTCGGCCAAATCCCCGGGGTCTCATCGCAGTCAGTTGGTTGATCTTGTAGTGGAAGACCGAAAGGCGGAGGACGACGAGCGGGCGCACGTTCAACGAGCATTTGGATCAGTGGCCGCTGAACCGGAACACAAACTTTTTCAGTATGTAGCCCACTCCATTAATACGTAAACACTGTGCAACCATTGCTGACTTCCCTACAGAAGACCGTCCGGTGATCCAGTTGACGAACCACCAGCTGATAATGCAGAGGAAATCGCAGAAACCTCAAATGAACGAGACAGACTTCTTGATCCAGATACTGAAGAATTAGGTCCCAAAACGCCCTCCTGGAACTATGGAGACCTGGAAGATGGCAATGTCTGGAGCCGATAGTGCAGCGGGCATAATATCATGTGCAAGGATGAATGATTTTTTTTTCCCCTTTTTCGGCCCTTTGTTTATATTTATTCTCCTCTTCTTGAACCATATTTTTCAATTGTACTTGAAGCGATCTGTAGTATCAGTGAACGAATCTCGTGTTTATAAATATAAGCGGGGGTCAAGACTTGAACCCCTCCTTCTCTATCTTCAACTTCCCTTGCATAACTTTCCAAACACCACCTCATGCTCATCGTTATCTTGCCTATTGTCCACCATTTTTGCTTCAGTAATGCAACTAGTTTGATTTTGGACACTTGGCTCGTTTCCTGCAGACGAACGAGGCCCGTTTGGCCAACGATCAGCAACCCACAAGGTTTGCTTTTGAATTCGACTGACTCAAGCAATGAAATCCCACCATTACGCGCCCACCACGATGCAGCGCTCATTTAGCTCGAGGTGATCTGGCCGACGTCTGGTCGAGTCAATGTGATATCCCCACAGACTACCAGCAAATGAGACGCACGTTCTGCACAAAGGCGGATCGGCAGTCCGACAAGCTGGCTGGGGAGGGCTGCAATGCAGTACGATGACTGGCCTCCAACGATGCTCTGGCTGCTCCTTGTCATATCAGAACAAAAGGGTGCCTGGGATGGTGTGGTGGTTGCCCACGTTGCAGAACGCTGGCTCGGCTTGTTCTTTGAATGCTGTCCAACGAGATGGACCAGGCTCTTGAGGGGTCGCTCCTGTTCGTTTTTCTTTCATTATCTCTGTTTCTGCTGCCGCCAGCCTCCCATCAGCTGGCCAGCGAACTGTCTGATGCAGGGCCCCTCCTTCTTGATGGCTTGATGTCTTCGCAGGTTGATTCCTCGCCCGTCCTTACTTCTGATACCACTTCTTTTTAACGCTCCGTTTATTTCCCCCCACCTTTTCGGTTTATATCCTAATTCTTTGTCGTTTTTTCCCCCTTTGTCCTTCTCTTCTCTCTCAGGTCCCCGGCATTTCCCCACTCCAAGGGAATGGACCGACAGCTTTAAAGGCTCTGGTAGCAATGCAGAAGGCAATTGAGCAAGCAGGATCCGGGTTCACTGGCTGGATCTCATCCTGCTTTTCCTGCCTCGATTCAAGTGGCGATAATGGACGTGCCGACCATCAGCAAGCCGTGAAGCAGAAAGGTATGCTTGCATCGCCATGCGCCATGGCTCGTACTCAACTGACACAGCCTCGTTCGTAGGTGCTGAGCGAGAGATGCAGATATGCCACTCTCAACCTCACCTTGTCCCTCCGATGAAGCTTGTTGTCTATGAAGACCTGCCTAGTCCTGGCCCCCCTCGCGCATCATCATTCTCTACGTGGGTAATGGAGGAGGGTAAAAACATGGCTTCGCGGGCCTCCAGCAGGGCGAGCATGTCGTTCAGGCGCAAGTCAACCGCTCCAGTGAGGATCAGTGCTCCGACGGACTTCAGGCGGGTAACAACTTTGCCCCCAATCTCAGCAGTTTCGACTGAATACCGTCCCTTAGAGCTGAGCTTCCAGAGCCCAACAGACCCTCTGCCTGATCTCCCCCGCTTCAGCGATTTCGGGATTGAGGAAGATCAACCACAGCAGGCACCTATCGCTCGGCCGCCGAGGGCTTTCTCATCAATGACTGAGGCCTCATATCAAACTCGCCCTCGCACTCACCGTCCTTCGTCTTCCTTCAACCTACCTCGAAAGCCCGTGGGGTCTGGGTCCCGCCGGTCTTCCCTCGCAACTCTGGAGCTGCTAATGGAGAAGCAAGTCCCTGTTAGCCATCCTCTGATCCCACACTTTTCCATTCGCTATTCTACTGCTTCTGTAGCCACTGGCCTGGCTACCGCTACTCTTGACTCCCCTCCCACTTGGCCGGATTCAACTGTGGGAGTCCTACCTCTCTCAAATAACCCCCCTCCGCGAGGGTCTCACAATGCTACTGCGTCAACAACACACAGCCCTCCCAACCCAACAACACTACAGGACAAGTCACTCCCGCCAATCCCTGCAAAGCCTCCCCTTGCACCTGGTAGACACCTGTACGAATCCCCTGCCACCCCAGTGGATAATGGTCCCCTCGAGCCCTTAGCCAATCCGTCTCCATCTCGTTCCAGCCGTGTAGCCCAATGGCTTCTTCAACAAACCACTCCACCCAAAACTCATACCAACCCCCATCCAACCTCACGGAGACCAAGTTTCAGCGACAAATTTTCCATGCGCATCCGCTCCCGCACCTTGAGCGGGTCAACCCTCGCTCCATCAATCAACAACATCGATGCCATGCCCCGAGCCTTCAAAGCCACTCCAACTACGACAACGCCTTCGCTCTCCCATACCACCACAGCAGGTACAATGACAACAGCACGGACATCCACTCTCGATTCCCGGATCGAGAAGGAATGCGAAATGCCATACGTTTTCACTCTGAGGCAAACCCACTCAAGCAATTTGTCTGACGAGAATCCCCGCTCCCACCCGACAATTCACGAGGCGCGGCAACATAGCCCTGATAATAAGTCCAGTTACCACACCCCCGCCTACTACCACGACCATCATAATCACTCCGCCATTGGCGTGGCATTTTGATCTTCCTCTTTGCCCCTACCTACATACTTCCGCCACTTGATTCTTGTCAATTTGGCTTTCAATCTATTAGTTAGTATAAATACCCTGGAGGGGCTTATCGGCCTTTATATATAATAATCAAGCTACCCTCTATCAAACCGTAATGTTTTACAAGCTTTTCTCTATCGTTGACCTCCAAGGGACAGCCTTAGTCTAGTGTCAATCATAACTTTTGAGCGGAACCCCACTTGCCCCAGTCACTTCCTTGATATTATCCACCAAGTCTTGGGTATGGATAAGGAACCCACGGCCTATGGTTCCGGGAGCCAGGATTGCATGCCCCCTTGTAACATTGAAGGTTTCCCGCCCGTCGATAATCGTGGTTCCAACTTTGCGCTCTTTAAGCCCTCCGTAAAGCCCCTTTGTGACGCCAGCTCTGGTTCCTACTTTGAATAGACGTTCGTCCAGGTCAATGCGTTGTGAACGATGTGAAATAAGTTCCTTGACGGCGAGTGTCTTATCTCATGGAAGCTGTAGTGTAGGTTAGTATATCGCTTTCATAGCTCTGGGGCAAATCCCTCACATTGTAAGGTTGCTTGCTTCGGGTGGGCGTACGGCTTGACTAGAGCCCAGTTGATGATCCCTGCAAAGCCTCCCCTTGCACCTGGTAGACACCTGTACGAATCCCCTGCCATGTCACGAATTCATGCCGTTAACATCTCTGCTATATTTTATAGTTTAAGAGCCTCGGAATCAGGTACCCCTACTAGTCATTTCCTACTATTCATAATGGATTGTAAAACGACAATTTAATACTTCCAAATCTCCATTCTCTCTCTTTCTCATTCTACACTATACTATCAATAGTGACTCAACTGGGTAAACGACGTTGCAAACCAAACACGAAGCGAACCCCAAAGGAGGGGCTTTCAGAGGTATATAGAAACTAACTTGAACGCATTCAATCCAATCCAAAACGCACGATTGCAGACGATTGATTGAACTCCGAAGCGGAGAGGAAGGGATGAGAAAGAGAGAGGGAGAGAGAAGAGACGAAAACCAAGTAACAACAATAGGATATCAGACTCGAGGCACAAAGCAAACACTGTATGTAACTAACACCGTCGTGCACCATCATTTCACTTGGTATCATGTCTGTCGGGAGGTAGGTAAACGTCTTTTATAACGAGAATTGACTGGCAGGCTGGTATCCCAGTTGAAAAGGCACACTCGACTCCAGGATGTATTTATCGCACGGCTGCATGGGATAGAAAGCCAGCGGTCGAACAGGTGGCGAGGCCTGCGAACAGGATCACAGGGTACTATCCAGCACCAAGTCCTACCACTCTGTCTTTCCGTCCTTCTGAGATCCTCTGCTGTCATGTCGGGGTGGTTGAGTACTGCTCTTCGTGGTATCAAAGTGAAAAAGAAAGAACAAAAACAAGACAAAGATCCGAAACAAAAAATCGCTCGTAACAATGTTGAAAGCACAAAAATTGAAACTGAAATTTCTCTTGGGGTATACTGCTGCAAATTGACATTGATTTTAGCGCGGTGGCCCAATAGGGGCCGGGTATCCAGAAGTAGAATTGGAAGTGCTAGGACGACCACTATCAAAAGACGCCCGGAGGTCATGCTTGGGTGTCATGTCCCCCGGTGCGGTACCGAATGGAAATTTCGTGTCAAAGCGCGCGGGCCAGCCATTGCTGCTGCTGTGGCTGTGGGAACCCCCAAGAGCGGGCAAGTCGTCCTCGGGGAGGTTCACGCCAGAGTCGTTCCACGGGTTGCGGTAGCCGCTGTCCCGGGACTCCATGGAAACCAGTGACGCCTTCGAGGCGTTGCTGGAGGCGTGCTTGAAAAAGGAAGCGGGGGAGGCGGAATGATTCTTGCGGCCGATGAACGAGGAAAACGAGGAAATGCTACCAGGCTTCCTCAGCCGCTCGAAGAGAGATCCACGCTCGCTCGTGTCATCGGTGAAACTGGGTCGAGTCGGAGAGTCCGTTGCAATTGGAGTGGGTGCATGTTGCAGCAGCTTAGAGTCAAAGAACGGCAAGGACTCCTCGAACGAATCCGACTTGGGTCGCGGGATAGCCCCTTTGACCGTAGTCGCATCGAGGCCATGGGCGACGAGTCGAGAAATCAAGAAATCGATTGCATCTTTCAGACCACCAGCGTTGTTGCGCGTGTAGCCAAGTACAACACGGTCCTCGGCAGCTGATGAAGGCGAACTTGAGCCGCTCTCAGATTTGGCCGCTTCAGGAACATCCACCGTAGTATCAACCTCGTACTGGTCCTTGAGTTTGGCACAGACGTCCTCACGGAAGTCTACACCCCTGAAAAAATCGCGCAGTTCGGGAGAACTCTGGAAGAGAAGCTCATGGCTTTCAGGAACCATTCCCTAGATACGAGTCAACAAGATAATCACGCCTAGTAAAACGGAAAAAGTAAGCATACCAGCAACGCATCCACAGCTTGCGGGACCTGATACTCAGGGCCGGATATCGTGACGACATCACTCGCAAGCTCTGTGCTGGGGAACTCAATCTTGCAGTTCCATTTCTTCTCGAGCTCATCGATTTCCGACATGCGGGCAAGCAATTCACGGTGATATAGTCGGTTGATCACAACACGCTCGGAAACATACTCGGCGTCCTGTAGTTACATTAGATATGAACGACGTAAAGAAAATTCAGGAAGAACAAACCACTTTCTCGACCATATCCATGATTTCCTGTTTGACCAGGTCCAAGCTCTGAGCATTGCGTGCAGGAGTACGGCAAATAACATTGTCGACCTTAATGTCATCATCATCCTTGCCCATACCACCGCGGTCCATGGCATTGGAAAACTTGACGAAGACAGAGTACTTCTTCATAATCCGCTGAATATGCTGACCGCCAATACCGATGATTCGCTTGTGGTACTGATCAGGAACGTGGAAGGAAATCGAAGCCGGCATCTCTTGCTCAACAAGATCAAGACCGCTCTTGGTGGACTCAAACTGGTTTCCACAAACGTCAATGTGGAAGTTGTACTCGTTGAAGCCATCGAAGATAATTTGAACGTTGCCTATCAACTGTTAGTGGTGTGCATCAAGACAATTTCGAGTCTAGTAACTCACTTTGACCCATGATCTTGTTGATCTTGCCGTTCTTCTTGCCGCTGACAAACTCTTTGTGCTCGTTCGCCAGCTCAATCTTCACACGCATCTGGTACTGGCTGCGCTGGACGAAGGGAATCTGGTTGATGACCATCATAGCAGCCTTAACTGCGTCGTCGGATCCATTGATGGTAAAGTTCAGATTGTCAAAGCTTACTTCAGCACCAGAGTTCGTGCAGATATCAGAGAGCATCGTTCGAACTTCTGCATGGGATGGACTTCGCACAGCCCCAGGAGTTGGATCAACCGCAAGAATCCACCACGAAGCACTGTAAAATTGACCAGCCTAATGCGCTGTTAGTCAAGTCGGAGAAGGTTGCTTGCCTTAGGAGGAAAATACGTACCAATGCCATGATCTCCCTGACGGTACGCTCGACGTGCAGAACATCAGTTCCCTGAATGCGAATGCCGTTCCGCTGGCTGCCCAATTGTGGGAAAATGACATAAGAACCGTTCATCTCCATGACTTTCCGGACCTTATCCAGACGATCAAGCAAGATGTTGTCAATCTTGTTCCCATTGACCCTGACATCCTTAACATAAACCTTCACGCCCATAACCAGTTCATGGAGCTTCTGCTTGGCCCGAGTGATTTGCTCCTGAGTCTCGCCCGTGATGTAGACTTCATCCTCACTCCGGCGGTGGGCATTGGGAGGGATGTAGCCGAAGATGCGTGGGAAAGGCGGTGGGAAGTAAATTGCAGTGCCAGTAGCGGCCTCGATGAGCTTGACATTCTTGCGGGTCCGACCGCATACCAAGGTGTGCGTGGTAAGGTCGAGCTTGACGGCGTCCACGTGACGTTTGAGCTTTTCGCTGTTAGCGGAGGAAGGGCCCAAGTGGGACAACCAGAAAGGGAAAAAAACTCACAATTTGATCAATCATGATCAAAACTCTTGTTTTGGCATGTTCAGTGCTTTCCATATCTCCATATATAGCTACCCTAAAGCGCTGATCCAATCCATTGTCGGTAGCGTAGCCATAGGACGAGACGATGGCACTATCCGTATCGCGAAGCTTGGGCGTAAGCAAGAAGATATCGGTGCCAGTATATTTAGCCAGAGTGTCCAAATGCTCCAAGACCGGCTGGCGAACTTCCTTTGTCTGGTTATCCGTGATGAGATGCGTATCAACGTCGACGGTCGCACATCGCTGCAGTCGCGAAAATGTCAGTACGGCATGAACCAAAATTCAAGGTGCCGTAAGGACGACAATAAAAACATCTGAGCAACATACCAGTAGGATAGGTGTCTCATTGAGGACCTTGGCTCGCATTTTCTGCACAATCTCGCCGTCTCCCGTGATACAGACATTTGTGGCTAATCCTTGTGGCCGGCGCTGTAGGGATGGGACGGTTTTGGGCTCCGAGGAACTGATGAGAGCTTCAACCCTCCCGTTACTACTCTCCGTTATTTGGCCACACAGTTTCCGTAGGGATTCGACGTTGTTGACGTGAACAGGCAGCTGGTGAATGGGTGTGCCTTCGGGAGTCCCCTCGGGAAAAGACCACCGCTGAAGGGCCTGGGGGCTTGCGTGCAACACGTCATCCGCATCTGGACCGGCAAGAGTCGAAGAGAAGGGCACATTGAAGGAGAGGTTAACCGTTGGGTCGATACCGGTCGGCGGAGTCATCGGGGGCGCGCCATGGGGCCGTCGAAGAGAGTGGGAAGTCATCTCAGCGTGAGGGCGCGACATGCCGAAGGTAGGTGTCATTCGCTCCCAACCATGACGGGCCTGACCCGTAAAGTTAGAGATCTTGTGCATAATCAGAGCAAATCGAATCTCTGACCCCTTGAACGAATCGAGGGGAGAGAGACGATGGTAGTCAGGCGTAAGAATATGGCGGGCGTCCGGAGCGGGATGGGCAGGAAAGCGAGGAAGAGAGGACAAAACGGAAGGCGAACGAGAATCCTGAAGATTTGAGGACGTCTTGTTCGACAGGGATGGCGGTGGAAGAGGAATGGGCGCACAGGACGAGTGGGTTGGGATGGGAATGGGCGGAATGAATTCAGCAACCTAAAACGGGTATCGAGGGATAGAGGGCAGAAGAGGAATGAGGCCGAAAAAGAGAACAAAAGGAGGGCAGAAAAAGAAATAGAGAAGAAAAGGAAAATACAAAGGGACAAGAAGAAGTAAAGCTGGCAGAGAAGGGGGGTATGGTAGTAAGATCGACTGAGGATGGTGAAGGTTGAGAAGGTGAAGGATGAAGACAAGAGAGGACGAGACGAGCGAGTGGGAGTCGAGAGTTGGTGATCGAGACGGATCGAGATGGAGGAAAATCAATGGCTGAATTCAGCACCCAAGCCTGACTCTGACCGGGATCTGACCACCACACAGCTTCACAACAATCTCTTGCTCAATCACTGTCTACTGGTGTGCTTTCCGATGTCTAGATAATTATCTATTCGGGCTCTTCTCATCACTGCCACTTTGAATATTACGCGGGAAGTGCGGATGTCCGTCCCTCCACCACGCATCCAGTGTTACGCATACACTCTCAGCCGAAGGACAAGGACAATCGTATTCGTGACCATCAACATCAAAGCCCCTTTCGGCACAAGTAATACAATGTCTTCGAAGTCTCCAATCGAGGGTGTTTCCAAATACCAAGGGATGTGTCAAGGGCAGCTTGACGACAGAATGTTCCTGGAATCCAAGACTAAGTCGCACTATGTTTACTAGCTTGTGAACTGTGAAGTCTACTGTTGCGACAAACTACTACTACATTTTGCACTCGTGCCATGCCAAACAAGCTGGAATGGAAGCCATCCCCAAAGCATGAACGTCGAGCCCTCGTCATCGTCGCAAACAAGTCTTCAGCACGGTCCACCGGGGGTTCAGACTGGTTCTGGTTCCATTTCGAGAACAAGCGAGGCAGCCAGTCACGTGTGCTCTGGAAAGACCGGGTCTGGACTCGGGAACCAAACTGACAAAACCAGACTCTACACTGGGCTCACTACTGAGCACGGCATGTGTCATTCTCCGTCGTAGCGAGAAGTCATTATACAGAGACAATGCCCTGGGCTGCTCAATCCCTGCGTCTCCTCCCACACTTCAAGCCGAGGACAGCGCATTCGCGGTGTGACAGGGTGGATCGCCCTCCCCCCTTCGACCCGGCGATGATCAGATCAACACCAGTCAGATTGACAACACTGAAACGAACTGGCGGCAAAACAGCAGCACGCCGGAGTATTTAAGCTTACTCTTTGCCTCAAGGGGATAATGTTGCACGACGCAGAGGTGAGTTCGTCCTTCCTCGTCTTGTAGTTTCCCCGGAGTCCTACATATCTTTGGTCACGATCCCAACTCGCGGATCCGAGCCATCACATTCTGATTCAGCCCTCAGGCGCTTAGACCCACCTTTCTTATCCTGGTATCCTGGTCTTCCGGCAAGGATGACGTCGACAGTCTTTACAAACCCATTGTGCATAGGAAAGCCGAATAAAACAACTGCAAGGAACGAGTATTAACGATTGAACCGGATCTGGCAACCCGTACATTAACATTTAGTAGCTATTGCTTAAAGATAAGGTATCATCTCATTCAACGCCGTGGGGTGTGGAATAGTTATAATGCACCACCTATTATGCTTTTTTAAATCCTCACTATACAAAACTCTCTTTTCGATCAGAGAGCCTCCTATGCTAGAAAATCCTTCTACAGCTGCTCAGTAGCGCTGAGAGCTCCGGTGGATTGCATCCCTCGGCCCATCGAGCACCACTCGGTCTGGTTCGCCGTTCTCGTAATACCGCTCTTCATGAGCCATAGGTCGCGCAGCAGCTACGTACATGGGTCGCTGCTCAATATACTCTCTCGGCCGGCGGGCATCCTCGTCAATATATACACTCATGTCGCGACCACCAGGACGGACACTCTCCACGCGCTGGATTACTTCACGCGGTTCTTGATATCTGGCTGTTGTCGGCGGCCTGACACTTGGAATCCTCACTATCCTTTCGCGGGGAAGCTCGGCTTCTTCCGCGTAATGACTCTGCCGGGGTGTATAATCGTGAACCTGCACACTACCGCTCCGCGGATACGGCTCTCTCCCATCAAACGGTGCAGCATATGGGCGCCGTTCATTAGGAGCCGGTCGAGCGTACTCTGTGACCCGTCTATAAGACCCCTGTGGAGGCATCTCTTGTACATATCTTCGGCCGCCGTATGGATCTTCGAGAACAGACGCGGCGCGTACACTGGCGTGACGTATGGGCGGCGGGCCCTCGTATACATCGGCTCTCGGAATTCGACTACTTGGCGGAGGCATAGCTTGTACTCTTGGTGCAGGAAGTGTCTCGTAATACTGATTCCCATGCTCATCAACAACAATTCGTCGCGGCGGTGGCTCCACGACATAATCATTGTAGTAAGCTTCACCCAACTGCGGTGGAACAGGAGAGGCATAATATCTCTGGGGAAGTACTCCGGGGTCATCATAATATCGAACACCATCCTGCTGTGGGCGTTCAACGACTGTGTAAGGTCCGTTACGGGCAGAGTGAGGGCTTTGCGGTTCAATATATTCACGCGCATACTCTGGTTTCCGGGCTTGGTGAAGACTCGCGACTCTCCGCAAATCCTGATCATCGCGCATTGATCGTTGGGTGCCAAGTCGTGAAACCGTGCGCGGAACTCCTGAATCACTATGAGGGTCTTCGTAAGGATCCAGCCCATATGCTGAAGGTCTCACGAGCGGCTCTCTTCTTTCTACCACAGGGGTGTAACGGGGTGAAGAAACATCAATATAGACAGGCCCTTCCTGAGGAGCACGAGCGCGGTACATTGGTGTGGTATCGGCAAATGGCGGAGGAGAAACAGGCTCCTCTTTAATAAATGGCTTGGCCGAACTAGCACCGTGGGCTCTATACACTGGCGGGCGAGACTGATCCCTGTCCCCTTGCAACCTCCTACGCTTCCTAGTCACCAGAGGCTGGGGCGGTACCTCGGGGCTCCCTCGGCGTTCCGGATCATACTCCGAACAGGAATCATGGATCTGATTGACCGAGGGAACTTTCGCGATGGCGAGGGGCGAGACTCTTGATGGCTGGGGGGCTGCAGGAGAAGTAATATGGTTTCGGATGACTTGTACGCCGTCTACTGGGGAGATTGATCGTCTGGCGTACCGGTCTCGTGGGTCAATCACTCGGCGTCTAGACGCATTCGGATCCGCTCTAGGAGGCTCATAGCTTTCAACCATTTCCATCGGTGCCACACCGGGAGCCGGTGGTGAGTATTCGGGTTCATCTAACGGTTCGACCTGTTGGCGGATGTGTTGTACCCTGTACGCCGAAGGATCTTCAGGGTTATGGAACTGTCTTGGAAGATGAGATGACGTTCGGTGGTCTGCAACGGAGTAAGTATCTTGCATTGACTGATCCGATTCAGGACGGTTGAGGGCTTCAAGCCGATGCAACTCATCTGAGTATCTTTCTCCGGTAACTCCAGTGCCATGTTCGTCAGGGATGGAAGACGAGGCCGAAGACGGCTTCTGGTGGTCACCGTGCTGTGGGGAGTCAGGGGCTCTGCTAGAGTAGAAGGAATTCTCATCAAATGAATCGCTAGGGGCCCCAGGCCCAGGAGCCTCAGGACCTGGGGAGGGCTTGACTATCTCAAACGCCCGGTTGAGGACATCGGAGACATCGAAATCAGGAGTCGCGTCCTGTATGGACACCCTCTGCTTTGACTCTTGTTTCCTCAGTTCAACCTGTTCCCGTATTTCTCTCTCCACTCTTTGTCTCTGTAACTGGATTTCTGCTCTCACCAGATCATCCGATTTTTCCAAAAATATTGGATCGATTTCGGAGGCAGGTTTCTGTGTAATACGCGAGGCCGTCGTGTTCGATGGACCATTGGGGGTATTTGTGCTCTGAGAGCTAGCCGGCTTCGCTATAGACGCGACATATTGAGACGGGGGCTTAGAAGGAGATCCCACAGTTTCGTCCGCTTTGCTCTGAGGCGTCGCCGACGCAGGTTGACTGCGAGACGCGACTTTGCGAACAAACTGCTGTGGAACCTTCAACCTAGGGTGAGTTCCAGAAAAGATATCCTCGCTTATTCTGAGGATCTTCTCATACTCCCGTACCTCGTCCGCTGTTGGTACTTTAGACGCGACAGCAGCTGCTGGAAACTGCGTTGCTGCCATGTTCTAGGAGCTTCGTAGAAAAGAAAAAAGAAAACGCTATCCCTGTACAAATTTTGAGCAGTCAATTAGTATTGCTGCATGACCTTTTCAGGTCCAAACTGTAAATGCCAATTTGCTGCACTTTGACGAAAGCGACTTGGCCTTGTCAAAAGTGGATGGCGTTGTGAGCAAGAGCTGAGTATTTAGTGAAAACGAGAAAAGTGCACTGCTGCTTCGGCAGAGGAAATTCGGTCACCTGCCCGGACTCTTGGCCGTGTGAAACGCTAGACCCGGTATGGACCGACCCCGGCCTGCTTCCAGGTTCACCTTAAAGAAAGCAGGGGCCTGATTTCGAGTTCTAATTGTTGTCGCTGATTTGTAAATGCGGCAAGGCGACTGTGACTCATAGCTCACTTGAGGATGAGTTTTCTCGCTCCTCTCCGCCCCTCCAAGTCCATCCGTATTCCCTTCTCCAGCACATCGCAACTTCACCCCGCATATCAACCATCGCCTTCGACCCGCACTCCCTTTCGCATTCACGGTCATAGCCACTGGCCAGGAACCGCCCCAATCAAACACAGGCTTCTCAGCACAATGTCGGACTCTCGGCCGATTTTCTTCTTCGACATAGATAATTGTGTACGTAGCGTCGATTCAAGAATTGGCCTCGCGTCTACTGACAATGCTCTCCAATAGCTTTACTCAAGAAGTGCGAAACCCGTTCACACCCCGCGCTTGCGGAATATTTCATAGTTAGGCCGACAGCTGACCGGGACCTTCGTGCAGAAAGCAACATTCACGATGAGATGCAAAAACTAATTCGTATGTCAATACTCTCTTCACCTACTAGTCGCTCTAGCCATCCATGCTCACCAGCTCCGCACTCCGCGCAGATGAATTCTTCGTCCACCACCTCTCTCTCAAATCTGAAGATGCGCACATGCTACACATGAAATACTACAAGGAGTATGGTCTCGCCATCGAAGGGCTTACGCGCCACCACAAAATCGACCCACTCGAGTTCAACCGACAAGTCGACGATGCTCTGCCACTAGACCGGATCCTCAAACCCGACCTCAAGCTGCGGAAGCTGCTAGAAGACATCGACCGGGACAAGGTAAAACTATGGCTTCTGACAAATGCATACGTCAACCACGGCAAGCGGGTGGTGAAGCTGCTGCAGGTGGACGATCTTTTTGAAGGCATCACATACTGTGATTATGCGCAGCCACCACTCATCTGCAAGCCATCGCAGACGATGTACGATAAGGCGGAGAAGGATGCCGGTGCTTCGGGTAATCAGGAGATTTATTTTGTTGGTTAGTTTCGCCTTCCCTCTTCGCCTGCATTTGGAAGGGACAACTGGTGACGAATTTCGCAGATGATTCTGGCCTGAATTGCAGACATGCCGCGACTCGTGGTTGGCAAGTTGCTCACCTTGTTGAGCCCGAGCTCCGTGCGCCCAAAGTTCCGGTCTCACAATACCAGATCCGGGATTTGGAGGAGTTACGAACATGCTTCCCTAGCCTATTCAAGAAATCATAATCCCGGAGTGGTGGATTAATACTTCAAATACACGTTGAACGGTTTACAATACTTGATTCTACCAGTGGATAGGCGGTGTTTATACTTCTTACGGAGACTTAACCTTATACAGCACATATCTTTAGACGGACATGGATAATAGAATATATTATATAGGAGTTATTATAGTCATATAATCTCAACCAATCTGACAGTCCAGCTTGTCACGACAGGGGGAAAGCAAACAATAGTAAATGATCAAAAACAATGAAAAGGCGTCAGCAAATTAAAGAAGCCAATTTGCAACTCCAGAAAAAGCACACAGAAGAACCATGATATAAGACACCGTAGAGTCGCTCGCAGATGAGACATAGTCGTCGGGTGTATCCTCACCCACGGTCTGGTCATTCGTCACCGTAGGCGTAATATTAGGCGTGGTAACAGCCGGAGTGCTTGTAGGCGTGCTTGGAGGCGTGCACAGCGCGTTCTTGCGTCTCTGGTACCCACACAGCCCCGAACCATTCATCTTCTTAGCTGGGAAGAAGGCCTTTGGTTTTCCAGCATTCATCTCAACGGTAACATTGCCCTCGTCGTCGGCAGTCACTGTCTCGCAGCTCAGAACATCCACTGCTTCGGTACCGGGAGCGAAAGCCCCCGGGAGAGAGAGATTGTACCGGCCACCCTTCGCGCCCAGGTTAGAGAAGACAGATACAATCTGAGAGCCTTCAGCGCCCTTTCGTGTGGCGTAGGTGGATCCGTCGACATATAGCTCTTTGCTGTGGTTGGCTGCGTGATGTTTGTCGAGACGGATGGCGTGGTTGCGGAGCTTGTTCAGGGTTCTTGTTGTGTTGTAGAGTGGGTTGCGTGAGTTGTAGTCGGTCTTCCACAGGGGCTCGCGGTTGTACGGGGCCTCTGGGCCTTGCAAGTGCTGTTCTTGACCTTGGTAGACTGGTTGTCTAGTTAGTCTTCAGTACGGAGGGTTGATCTGTTGAGGGAGCTTACCAATGGGTATGCCGTCAGATAAGATGTTAAAGGCCATGGCATTTTTAGCCAGCTGAGGCCAGGTCAGTATAAACTGGGAAAAGCCATTGTCACTTTTGTGGAAAACTTACGTTTGTATCATTGGTCAAGGCCGCAAATCGTGGCAGATCTTGGCTCTCCGTATACGTCGCGAGCCGGGTGAAGTCACGGCATTTGCTGTGTTGCGACCGGACCTCCTCAGCAAGTCCTTGCATGTCTCCTGCAGTGAAAGCCTGCACCATGGGCTCGTGAAGAGGTTGGTTCAAAATACCGGACATGAAGTCTTCGTATTTGCAGGCATCGCCTGTACTCTCGGTGTCGACCTCTCCCATAGTAAACACACCGGCGGCCCGGCTAAAACTAGTCAAGTAGGCATCATTCATGTTTCTTGCAGAATCAACACGGAGGCCATCAATCGAGTAGTTGCCAACTAGTCCCTTCGCCCATTCTTGGATCATGGACGCAACCTTGTCGTTCTCGGTGTTGAGGTCAGGAAGAGCAACGACTTCGAGATCACGCCAGCACTTTTCAACACTCTCCGGGTCATTTGAATCCGCAACCTTGCAGTACGGGTGGTAGTACTGTTCTTCATCAAAGGGGGTGAGTCGAGACCAGTCAAGATCAGGCTGCTCATTTTCAGAAACTGAGTGGTTAAAGGCTTGTGCCATGTTGTTGATGGTAACATCCACCATGAAATACATCCCTCGCTTGTGCAGTTCTTTGGCCAATTTTCGGAGTTCGTCTGCTGTCCCAAAGTGATCATTCAGAGCATACAGGTTTTGCGGCCAGCGTCCATGGTATGCCTCTCCGTATGTGGTATCTTCAGGGATGTTCTCCACGACTGGAGAGATTTGAACAGCCGTGAACCCCAGATCTTGAATATAGTCCAGCTTATCAATGATCCCGACCCATGAACCTCCACAGTATTTGTAGGGCTCACAGGGCTCATTTGAAGATCCGGCAGGTCTGGCAAAACGGTCCGTCATCACTTGCTGTAATTCCAGGTATTAGTGTTGCTTTCGAAACTTGCATAGTATAGAAAACATACATAGATCGATCTCTCGGCCCATTGTTGAGCTGAAGGGGATGCAGCGGCTATGCTGGCAGAGACCGAAAGGATAGCCTTTAGATATGTGGAATGCCGCATATTTTATGTTTCTAACTTGGGAGTATAAAAGATAAAGGGGGGAGAAGGAGCAAATTCTGTTCAACAAGATGGGCCAGATATATATAATGGTTGTGTGGCCAGTTTTGAAAACAATTGAATGGAAATGATTTGACATCTGAGGATGGTGACAAGGAACACCGAGAATGCGACCAAGAGGTCATCTTTATACCTTTCACTTCCCTTGGATATCCATCCGTACCTTTACTAGATGCTCCTGAAGGGCAAGCCAAGCGCAACCCCCTCTACTGCTCTACTACTGTATATGGAAATATAGGGCACGAGGAGTAACCTAGGAGCCATGCCCCTTTCCGCGCAGTAATATCCTCCGAAATCCCCGGGTTCTCATGATAATCTGCGTCTTGACACATATTTAGCGGGGGATCAAAGGGGTTCGACTTCTAGGGCAACTAAAGTAAGGAGCTAGGTCCTTCTCGTCACATGCTCTCAAAGAAAGCTACGAAGTCACCGGGTGTTCCTGAAACTAGGGTTAACGAGGGGCATAGGAGCGGCATCAGAATTGAAGGGGCGATGGGTACAAACTACAACAACATCAAGGAGGGATGGGGGTGATGAGTTGTGGTGGCTGGTAGAAGTGATAGAGTTGATGCCTTAGGCTGCCAGGCATAATCGCCGGCCGATCGCGTCCTGAGGCCACCAACGGACCCAGTTCCCCTGGCGCGGTCAAACAACAACAATAATCAAGCAACCACTCACACCCACTTCCTGCCCCTCCTTACAGCGCCCGGGGCTTTCCTTTCTTCGCCATTGCTTGTGCAGGAGCTCCGATTAACCAAGATCAGCATGGCGGAGCTATCCACTGGCTGTGTCGTCACGCTTACCGACGGTCGGCAGGCCACCGTCCGGTACATGGGAGCTACGAGCTTCGCGGATGGAGAATGGGTTGGCGTCGAATTGAACGACGATTCTGGCAAGAACGATGGGTCGGTACAAGGGGAGCGTTACTTCGACTGTGAACCAGGGTTCGGCATGTTTGTTCGCCCAACTGTCGTTGCTTCGATCATTGAACGGCCAGCCCGAACAGCGAAAGCAGCTCCCAAAGCAGGCACCGCGACGCAGAGCAGAACCCGCGCCCAGAGTGGTATATCTACAGGCCCAGGTCTGAGGAGGCCGGGCTCTATATCGTCCATGAATCAGAAGCGAAACAGCGCCAATTCCAGCCCAACGCCTGCTCCAAAAGGGCCGACCCAACGGTTGTCTTTGAAGGTAAACCATCGGTGGATGTACTTGCGCTACGAATTTGCTGACTCGATCTGGATGTAGACCCCATCAAAATCACCTACGAAACAGCTATCAAGTTCCACAACCCCCGCTCCCGCTCGTTCTTCAATCAGCGGCGCCCCGAGACCCTCCGCAGCGACACCAAAGACTCGGCCAAGCACCACGAAGTCCTCTATGGGCCCTCCTCCACCTCCTGCTTCGTCTCGCGCTGCCCGTACCTCTGTATCTGGACCCGGCGCTAGGACGAACAGACAAAGCTTGCAGGGGCCCGCAGGGCCAGCGTCTTCAGGATTGTCTAAGCGACCTGCCCTGCGACCAACCGCTCCAAATAAAACACAAGAAGAGGAGACAAACACTGCCGCAGAAGACTCCGACTCTGCCTCTAACGATGCGGAAGGCGAATTCGTGGAAACGGAAGATCCAGTGCCCTCCAAGGTTACACCAACAACACGAACTAGTTCTTTCCGTCCAACACCTGGTCAGCCTGCACCGCAACGGCAAACCCAGAATATCGCGGTGACGAGGGAACTCGAAGAATTGAAAACTAAGTTGAAGGTCATGGAGAAAAAACGAGCCGATGACCGAGAGAGGCTGAAGACTCTAGAGCAGTTGCAGGGGGAACGTGATAAGTTCGAGGGAATAATCCAGAAACTGCAGGCAAAATATCAGCCACAGCAGCTTGAGATCACAGATCTGCGTAAAAAGCTCAAAGAGGCGGAAGCAAGAGTTGATGAAGTCGAAAAACTGCAAGCAGAACATGAGACACTTATGGAAATTGCGACCCTTGACCGTGAGATGGCGAATGAGACGGCCGATGCAATGAAGCATGAATGCGAAGCGCTTCGAATGCGAGTGGAAGAACTAGAATTGGAAGCAGAGGTGCTACGGGAAGAGAACGAAGAATTCGGACAGGTCATGAGCCCCGAGGAAAAATCGAGTCATGGATGGTTGCAAATGGAGAAGACAAACGAACGACTTCGAGAAGCACTTCTTCGCCTCCGCGATATGACCCAACAGCAGGAATCGGAGTTGAAGGACCAGATTCAGGAACTTCAGCAGGACCTCGAGGATTATTCTGCTATCAAGTCGCAATATGAGGCTACAAAGGAAAAGTTACTAGTATCAGAGAACAACGTTGAAGACCTCAAGCAACAGCTCGAGACTGCACTGGGTGCGGAGGAAATGATTGAGGAGCTGGCAGACAAGAACATGCGCTACCAGGACGAAATCAACGACCTTAGTGCAGCTATTTCTGATCTCGAGGCGCTAAAGGAGATCAACGATGAGCTCGAATGGAACCATGTTGAAACGGAGAAGCAACTGCAAGAGGAGATCGAATACCGCGAAACCCTCTTTAACGACCAGGTTCAAAAGATATCGCAGCAGGATGACGTGATAGAGGACTTGGAATACACGCTGACTCGTTTTCGAGAGCTCGTTTCGACCCTACAAGCTGATTTGGAGGATATGCGGGCGTCGCAGCAAATCACAGAAGCCGAAGCCACCGACCTGACAGCGCGCTCTAGAGCAATGATGGATCTGAATCTCAAGCTACAATCATCTGTTGCCAAATCCCAAACCAAGACAATTGATATTGAGCTTAAACGCATTGAATCTGAGGAGGATAGCCAGCATTTGTCTATCGTGAAGATGTATCTGCCAGAGTACTTCGAAGGTGAACGAAGCTCTGTTCTTGCGCTCTTACGCTTTAAGCGAGTCAGTTCCAAGGCGTCGTTGATGAACAGCACTATTGAAGGGATGGTTTCTGAGCAAGCATCCATATCGCCTGCTTTGGAGGATGTTTTTACTGCTCACGATGTCCTGGAGAAGCTTCTCTTTATAGACTCTATCTGCGGTCGGTTCGGGAACTACATCGCAACCTGTTCTGCAGAGGGCTTTGGCACCATCCAAGGTTCTTACTACGAGCTGGAGCCCGTGGAGCGTACATTGAATTTCTGGCTAGAGGCTCTGAAGAAAAATGAGATCAATATGAAAAAGTGCGCAGTGGAGCTGCAAAGATCTATCGCTCTACTGTCGCACCTCGCCGAGACTCTTCTCCCCACGTCGTTGGAAACATTTGCCGACGAACTCTGCATGCGTTCTACATTGACCCAGTCCTACATTGAGAACGCAGTGTCGTCGATGTCGAGACTCCTGTCGCTGTTGCAATCAAAACTGCCGAAGCCCGAAGATGGTGATGAGGAAGCCACCTTCCTATTCGGCAAAATTGAAACCTTTGTGTCTCAAGCCCGGAGCCTCAAGGTTGCTATGGTAAAAATCAACCGCGCGGTTGGCGATTTGCGGTCAAGGTCCCTCGCTCTGTCTCATGATGCTTGCGAACCGTTCAAGAAAGCAGAAGATGCCGCGAAGGACCTTTCCAGCTTGTCGCGACAAATGGGAGAGAACATCATGGTACTCTTTAGCGATGAAAGCCGGGCAGAACCAATTACCTTGCAGGAAGTTTTGACGAACATGTCTCAGATATCTGCAATGTACATCCAGTCCTCTGACGCGGGAAGCGAGAGCAATGGCGGCATGTCCTTCATTTTCACCATGCTGCGTGGCCTCGGCGGCACTCTGGAAGAACTCGGCTCTATTTCATCTGACTTGTCTATCACTTCCGAGTTTGAGAAGCGACGTTCTCCTTGGATTGCGCGATCTGCAGAGCTCAAATCAAACAAGGTGAACTCACCTGATGCTGAGGAGGAAATCCGTCGTTTGAAGAACGAAATCCATGAAGCATCTACCGCTCTGGGGGTTAAAGACAAGACCATCGAGGAGCAAACCATCAAGGTAGAGCTCGTGGAATCACGTATGCGAGAAGCAAGCAAGAAGGCAGCCGCCGTGAAAGACCTGGAAGCCAAGATTGAGGAAATGACAACAAAGGAGTCAGATCTCAAAACTACGGTGGAAAGCCAGCGCAAAGACCTACAAGGCCTCGAGGCAGAGCGGGATGAAATCAAAGCCCAGCTTGACAGGGTCAAGCGCCTTTCTGGAACCGCTGGGGTCACTGCTGGCTCCGGTACCATCGTCGACAACGCTGCCTCGCTGGCGGCAATGCAGGAGAACGAGGCACTCCGCGCAGAGGTGGAAAGCCTTCAAGCGGCTGTTCGCTTCCTTCGCGAGGAGAACCGCCGCCAAAACATCCTCGACCCATACTCCGTGCAACGCTCATCAGAACTCTACTCCTGGCTCGACGCACCACTCACTCAGAAACCCATCGCAGAGGCCCAACGAGAGAAGATCCAGCAAACCGCGTCCGAAAGCCGCGATGTTCTCTCTCACCTCCTCAAGCTCACGCAAGAGTCCAACGTCTGCGACCTCAAATCTACCCACAACCGCGCTGGCTGGCGTCCCTCGAAGGAGAAGCTCCGCTACCAGGTCCTTCAGCAGCGCGAGAACTTCGAACGCTGGGCTGAATGGAAGGACGAAATCGTCGGCCACGAACGCGAACAAGATCGAATGGCGGCTGCCAAAAAGGAAAGAGCTGTTCGTGGACCACGCACACATGGCCACGCTTCCCACCCCTCAATGGGGTATGGTATGATGGGCCGCGCGTGGCAGATCCTCGGCATGCAGCAGGACCGCAAGACGGCCGCTACAAATCAGTCTGTCGAACCGGCCATTGAGCCATCATTTTAGGTTCAACCCGAGTTCTTGCTGTTGTCGCTGCAGGTGGTATTTTGGTTTTGTTTGTCTTTATCTACCTGTGAGCGTATTCGTACATACTTATCTTATTATACCCATCCATATTTCAGAAATGTATAGTCGAAAGAGAATTTTATACACTTATGGCCGCCGTTATTCGAGAATGGGAGTCAATGCATGATCGGCCTCTGTAGGAGATATTCAGGATCAGGAAATGGTTTATCACCCCCACTAGATTCCAGGTGTGGTGAGGAACAGTTATGACAGATCTGAGAAGAAAGCATCACATGATATCATTTAAATTCTATATCATCAATCTCTAGTATCGCTCTATAAGTCTAGTATTTAAAGAAGAAGGAAAGGGCTATACCAGCCTATCTCCTTCTTCGGGTAGTAGTACTGGCATTCGGCCTAGAACTAGACGGACTCCGCCCCGTCGCAAACCCAATGAAGATAATGATAATCGTCGTTAACGCCTCAGGGAAGAACATGAGCACCAGGCGCACCGCGGTCGTCCCATACACAGGGCTAAGCTCCTGCCGTTGCGTCATAACCGCAACATGGGCGTATATTACCCTGATTCCGAGGAAGAAGAGGGCGATGAGGGTTCCGCCGAGAATCTAGACAATACCATAATTAGCCACAATGCATTGTCAAGAACAAGTATACGGGGAAGCATACCACAGTCCCTTGCCAGTACGCCGGGGCGTTTCTACGTGCCTGAGATGGTAGTAAAGAGAAGCCAGCCCAGGCGACCTCGAACACCCATGCGACGATCATCAGCGCCGATCCGACCTTCCAATGGAATAAACTAGTTTGTTTGTGGTGGCCCTGGTAGACATCCATGGCGCCTGTTGCTGTGAGGGCGATTGCGGCGGCCATCAGAGCCGTGATGATGTAGATGAAGCCCCAGCCGAGCCATTTGCTGAGGTTTTGGCTGGGATTGCGGTAGGAACGACTTTTCATAGCAAAATGGGGGTTAGTTTTGTAATTTCTTTATTTTATCGGGCTTGTTTATTTTATTAAAGTTGGTTGGACGTACGCTTCGTGCACGAGGCCATCGACACTGAGGAGTAATGGGGACGTCCCAACACCGATGAGAATGCTGGCAGCTAGACTATCCCCTTGAGAGGTACCGAGGGCACCGGCGACAATTCGTAGTATGCAGAACGCGGTGAGATAATACCAGGCGAACAAGCCAGCCCAGCGATGAGTCCAGAAGTTGTATATACTGAGTGGAAGGAGGATCATATACAGGGTTAGACTGGCCACATAGACCCCGTTCACCATGGTGGTGTATCTAGAGGGAAAGGGTATGGATCTGAGAGTACTAGAGCAGCAGCAGCTCAGGGCGATATACGCGCCGTTTTATTTTTATTTCATCTGTCTCCATCGGTAAATTTGCTAGGCCCGATCGTCGACTAAGTCTGATACCCGCAAGCGCGAATTACTCTAACGGGCGCGTCCAGGGTCGGGTTGGAGTCGAGACTCGAGACACGGGAGCCATCGAGACTCCAGGTCGATTTGGCGGCCGATTCATGTTTATGGCTGGATGAGCAATCAGGAGGTGGAAAAAAAAAACGAGTGGAGAGCAAGAGTCGCAGAGAGACCGTCAGCCAAGCTTCGGCTGGTGCAATTGGGCTGCAGGCTGTCAGACCCACGGACGAGGCGTTGGAGAGTCAAAGAGCTGAGGGTGGAAGATTGGAAGATTGCCCCAGGCTGCATTCGGAGACACAGCCGCAGCTCTCTCAGGCAGCATCGTTCCACTCCGCATCTTCTTAAACCCCCGCTATACTTCGACTCAGCCCGAACGCCATGTCCGTGATCCTTTGATGAAAAGATCTCGCTTATAGATCTTTCGCTCCCGCCTTCCATGGTACATAGAGGGAAACTCAGCGCTGCCTGCGGTCCTTGTCGAAGTCGTCATCTCAAAGTACGCTGGCCACCTTTCTCTTAGCCAACCTCGTATTAATGCCCAAACGCAGTGCGACCAGAAAAGGCCATTCTGCTCCCAATGTATCCGCGCCAAGAGAGAATGTTTCGGATATCGGGACATCTCTGGAGGGAGATTCTACGACCAGACTGACGAGGTAAGGAAGAGGAACTCGCCTTCATCGGCCTCCTCCTCTGCCTTGGTTCCTTCTCCATCGCATAAACGGAGATTGGACCAGTCTGCTAGTCTTCCCCTTATACAGCAGCATATTCCCGTCCTTTCCGGCCCGCTGGCCGACCAGGGTGCAGCTTTCATGCTGTCTCGATATCCAGCCCGAGACCGTGTTGTAGGCGGTCGAGGCCCAGTGAACGGTTTCCTACCCCACGTGCTATGCACACCAGCAGGACGTGCCGTCACCACGAGTCTCAATGCAGCAGGCTTAGCAGCGCTGTCTAATATCCACCAGTCGCAGCAGCTCATGCTGCGCGCACGGGAGACGTATATCTCGGCGTTGGCAGAACTGAATGAAATTCTGAGTGACGAGACGCAGTCCATATCAAATTCTAGTTTAATAGCAGTGGGATTCCTGGGCATGTTTGAGGTGCGTATTTGGACTATTTTCGAAACAAGACCCTCTGCTAATCTAATAGATATTGACGTGCAATGGCCGGCCCCTTTTAGAAAAATATCTTAACCATGCAGAAGGATCCGCCAAACTCCTCCAACTGCGCGGCTCCGACCAACTCAAGGATCCAATTGGGATGGGCTTATTTTCTCAATTTCGGACGAATATCGTAATTCTTCCTGACCTGGTTTTGGTAGTTCGGCTTCACAATGGAACGTATAATAACTGGAACAGATCCTAGGTAACTTCTGGCTTAAAAAGCCCACTCCTTCGTGGATGATCGAACTTTCAAACGAGGCTATCGCTTATCGTGGCAACGGGGCAAGCCCAGATGATGAGCTCTTCTTCCTTATGGCGCAGGTTGCCGATATATGTGCCAGTCTCCGCCACGGTGCATTTATAGAACCCACCAGAGTCGTGAAAGAGGCCCTCAAACTCGACACAGAGCTCAAGTCTTGGGCTATGTTTGTCGATTCCAGCTGGCACTATGCCGTTATTGATAACCCTGAATCTGCGAATGAGAACAGTTGTGATTCGCCTTCTCGACGCGTTTATGGCAAGCAGTACCATCTCTATCCAAGCACAGTGGTTTCAGCAGGGTGGAACGATTATCGCTTCGTGCGTCTTATTCTCTTGGAAGTCGTTTGCGCACTCTCCGATCACCTTGCTCGGAAAGATGAAGTGGCTGCCGTTGAACACCAACGGACAATATCTAACTGCACGGCCGTCTCGCAACAGCTAGCCGAAGACATCTGTGCCAGCGTGCCCTATCATCTCGGGGCAACCGAGAGCTCTACTCTTGAAGATTGGAACGGCACGCCAACCGGAGGCATGACTAGGTTGATATGGCCGTTGTTTGTTGCATCTGACTGCAATGGAGCGTCACCAGAGCTCGTAAAGTGGATTGCCAATACCTTGTCCCGGATAGGTCATGGAGTAGGTATCCAGCAGGCGGTGGTGATGTCAAACCTCTTGAAAGCAGGCCGGCATTTGAGCTGGCTTCCTGAGCTGGGGATGTAATTATTGGAGTTTCTCCCTGTTTTGTCCACTGTATATATACCGGTATATCTCTGATGGGTTACTGCGAAGAATCTATGTAACATACACCTTGTAACCAGGATTAATTTACCCAGTAAGATTTTGCTACTATTATAATTCGAGCACTAAAATGGCGACATGTTAAATAATAGTGAACTTCTCTCATCTAGCGCAATCTTAGTGTGGACCGTGGCTCTTCAACGGCTGATAGTGCTTGTCTTATCTAAATTGATCTCCGCGCAGAGACGCGACTTGCGCGTCCCGATTTTGTCTCCTCTCCAACTTCGCCCTCACGATGGAATTATGGCAACCATCAAGGCCATCGAGGCCCGCTCAGTATTTTACCCCTCGTCTATTTTGTATGCTCCTCCTAATCAAACCTTCTCCACCTCTAGGTTCATCAAATCCAGTCCGGTCAGGTCATCGTCGACCTTAACTCGGTGATCAAGGAGCTCGTCGAGAACAGCCTCGACGCCGGTGCCACATCAATCGGTCAGTCTCAAACAAGCGAACAGGCCTAGAATTCGCCTTTCTCAATATTATGTATTGGCTTACATTTCATAGAGATTCGATTCAAAAACAATGGCCTCGACTTAATCGAAGTTCAAGATAACGGTAGCGGAATCTCCCCGGCGAACTACGATAACGTGGGTACGTAACTGGCTACCCTCCCTCCGCTTCGCTTTCCTCCTAGATCGAGAATAAGCTAATGATAGCAGCCCTTAAGCATTACACGTCTAAGCTTTCTTCCTTCGATGACCTCCTCCGCCTCCAAACCTTTGGCTTCCGTGGGGAAGCCTTGTCGTCACTATGCGCTCTGTCCGATTTCCGCATCACAACCGCCCAAGCCGACCAGGCGCCGCGCGCAACCCGTCTCGAATTCGAACAATCGGGAAAGCTGAAAAAGACACAGATGGTTGCAGGACAGAGGGGCACAACGGCGTCAGTGGAGGGGCTATTCAAGAAACTGCCCGTTCGACGGCGGGAGTTGGAAAAGAACATTAAACGCGAGTATGGAAAAGTGTTGAACCTGCTGCATGCATATGCCTGCGTTGGTACAGGTGTGCGCTTCAGCGTCAAGAATACGCTAGCAAAGAAAAACGCGGTAGTCTTCACGACGAACGGGAACCAGACGACAAAGGAGAATATCGCTAATGTCTACGGCGCAAAGACACTTCTTGCATTGATACCGCTGGATCTTGAGTTGGAATTCGAACCGTCAGGACCTGGACGACGAACTGCTGGAGAAGACACGAATAGGATTCAGGTCCGCGGGCATGTCTCACGACCTGTTTTCGGCGAGGGACGGCAAACTCCTGACCGGCAGATGTTCTTCGTCAACTCGCGGCCGTGTGCACTACCGCAGATCGCTAAGGCGTTCAATGAGGTGTATAAATCCTTCAATGTTGCGCAGTCGCCTTTTGTATTTGCGGACTTCCACATGGATACGAATGCCTACGATGTGAACGTCTCTCCGGACAAGCGGACGGTTTTACTGCATGATGCCGGGGCCCTTATCGAGTCGCTTAAGCAGTCGCTTCAGAATCTGTTCGACTCGACGGACCAAACTGTGCCTCAATCGCAAGTTCTTGGGAAGTTGCCGGTTGCTAGGCAGCGTTCATTCCCGGAAACGCCAAGGGCTTCGATTGCGAAAGTTGATGTTGGGAGCCAGGAATTGGTAAATGCTGAGGATCAAAGTGAGGAAGAACAGGAAAAGGCCCCAATGAACCCGCAGGACAGGATGAAAAGCCTCCTTGGGAGCATCAAGGCGCGTGATACCCAGCCAGATGAACCGTCTCCTACGCGGACGCCTAGCAAACAGCAGCCTCCTGCTGCTCTATCTCCTCCCCGGACGCGCGACGTACCAGCTCAAGAAGAAATCCATGACCACCCTGCCGAAGAGGAACCCTCCGACGATGAGCTCTTCGTTGGTGAGAAAACACCCCACGGAAACACACAGACTACACACGATGATGAGCCTAGTACGCAGTCGAGCCAACCGCAAGAACCCACACAAGATGATTTCGAGACCCCAAATGCTATACAAAATGCATTTGACCGAATGAGACCAAGACGTGTACCAGCCGAGATGGCAACCATCACTATTGGCGATAGGACAGTAACATCAATGGTCGGGAGCGGCTTACCTAGGAAGAGGAGCACGACCGGTGACGCGACCGGCCGCCCAGCTCGAAAAAGACGAATTCATAAACCGTCTCGCCCAAGTATCTTTGGTCATATGCAGGATTTTGCGGCACCGGGGTCTCAAATGGATGCGTCTCAAGACAGTGAAGAAGAATACGAGGAAGAAGAGGACATTGAAGATGAAGACCAAGACGAAGACGAGGGCGAAGGCGATGAGGGCGTAGAAGAGGAAGCAGAAGAAGTTGAGGATGTGGAAAGCGAGGTTGACGAAGGGTTGGAAGATGCCGAATCCTTCGCCCCGACTGATCAGGATAATGCGAGCGAAGCCGGTGAAAAGGACACTCAAAAGACGCAAGAACAGCCTGCAGATGAAGAGATGAATGAGGACATGAACGACGAAGAGAAAAAGAAACACGAAGAAGCTGAAGTCCAACGACTTATCCAGGAAGCAGAGAATGCCGCACAGGCCAACAGCCATACCCGGGCAAATAAACTGAACAAAGGCGTCAGTAATCGAGATTCTACCGTAAACCTCTCGACCACCATCAACGGGTCAATACCCAGAATCCAGTCTCAAGCCGAGCATCTCAACAATGCTACTGAACAGAGTGACCCATCTTCTCAAAACGAAGCCGAGGACACAGGCCTATCCCAAATCGCAGCTGAAGAGCGTTTATCCCTAACAGTCACAAAAGACGACTTCGCACGCATGCGCATCCTCGGCCAATTCAACCTAGGCTTCATCCTCGCAACCCGCTCCACCGAATCTAAGGACGAACTCTTCATAATCGACCAACACGCCTCGGACGAAAAAATCAACTTCGAGCGTCTCCAATCCTCAACGGTCGTCCAAAACCAACGCCTCGTTCACCCCAAACGCCTCGACCTCACAGCCGTCGAGGAGGAAATCGTCATAGAGAACCAAATCGCCCTAGAGAAAAACGGCTTCGTCATTGACGTCGACGATAGCGGCGACGAACCTATTGGTCGGAGATGTAGTCTCCTCTCGTTACCACTAAGCAAAGAGGTCGTCTTTGATACGCGGGATCTAGAAGAACTGATTGTCCTCCTCTCGGAAAGAACATCTACAGCAAATACAAAACCGGATAGTGATATCGACATCCCCCGTCCCAGCAAAGTCCGCAAGATGTTCGCTATGCGGGCATGCCGCTCGAGTATCATGATCGGCAAGACATTAACGCACAAGCAGATGGGGCGCGTGGTGCGGAATATGGGCACGATCGATAAACCATGGAACTGCCCGCATGGTCGGCCGACGATGCGTCATCTTTTCAGCCTTAGACATTGGGAGGAGTGGAATGAATATGATCATGCGCCTGCACATGGACATGATGAGAATAGTGATGAAGATGGAAATGAGTCATCAAGGAGGTTGGATATCTGGAAGGAGTATCTGCAAGGGATGGCAGATGAGGCGGATTAGACTTGGATGCTTTTCTGTAGGAATCTTGGAATGTATTGGGAAGCATTGGATACGATACTCACCATCCTCGTATATAGTGACAGAGATTTTGAACATGAGGTCACTACAACTACGTCCTAGCCTTTTCAGGGCACCTCTGGATTCTATGCCTATGGAGACTAAACCACGTAGTTAATAGGTCAACTACCCACCTGTAGGTATGATTCAGTTAGGGCCTAGGCGTGCGACTAGGGTTAGGTTGCAATCTACTTTTGTATCTTGCATTTATAGAAAATCACATGACTGCCCGATTTCTTTGGTTCTCCCAAATTGATCCAGTCTACCATGTTTCTTCGATCTATACTCAGTATATGCTGGTATATAGATGCCGCCCTCGCTACACCGCCGCTCTGCATTCCAATAGGCCATCATTGTGATATTTTCTGCTCAACGCCAGTGCTAACTGTAGTACTCTCAGCACGGACAATCTGCAGCTAAGCTACTAGCAGTCATGTGTCTGCATAACTGGCTATAGTGTAACCCCTCCACCCTCCACCCTCAACACCAAACCCAACTTATATCCATCTTGTATCCATAGCTATTCCCATCATTAAGACATTCTAAAACATCCAACTTCCCAAAGAAAAGAAAAAACAAACAGACCTATTCCCACCACCAAAATGACCCTCAACCAACCAACCTCTCCCAACTCCCAGAATTTCCAACACCCGCAAGAAGACCCCTCCGACCCCCAAAAACCCAGCCGCGAAGCCGTCTCCGCCTTCACCGCCTCCCTCCACTCCCTCGGCGCAAACTACACATCCGACCTCGTCGACCGCGCCAAGAATTTACATGGGAACTCCGAGGCGCTGCGGGCGCAGGAAGAACAGCTCGCGCGGACGACGGCGGACCTGCACAAGCAGAATAATGAGTGGGGGAAGGTGGCGGATGATGCGCGCAATGGGCTGAAGGAGATTGGTGATGTGCAAAATTGGGCTGAGATGATTGAGCGGGATTTGCTGGTTGTTGAGGAAGTGCTGGGTGTTGTGGAGGAAGAGGATTTTGAGAGGGAGAGGGAGCGGGAGCGGCAGGGAAATATTAGTGAGAGTGATGGTGAGATGGATATTGATGGGCAGGCAGTTAATGGAAGTCAGAATGGAAACGGGGTTTTGAATGGTGGTTTGGATGGGAATGGGAAGATTGGTGGAGAGGATGGGGAGGATGGGAAAGCGATGGGAAAGGGCAAGGCGAAGGCCAAGGGGACAGAGAAGAAAGGGTGGTTTTCTTGGTGGTGATTTATGGATCTCTTGCATTTGCTATTTACTATTGACTATGATGAGTTACGAATTATGATGATAAGATGTTTTTGGGTAGTTAATGTATCAAATCAAGATACGAGTATTAGCATTGTAGAGGTATTTGCATCGCTGATAAATACATTCAGTTCAGTTCAAGATACATTGAGTAAAGTAGAAAGTGAGTCCCAAACGCCATTGATGCCCTGCTTTGTCCTCAAAATTGTTTTTGCACACGAGCGCTACATTAATATCAAATTCAACCCCCCTTAGCGCGTAAAAATATCAAATGAAAAGGCATCACATATTCGCCAACTCGTTATCAATCTGGCGGTCGAGGAATGCTCGCTTGTCTCCGACAAGTGTCGTCTGGAGTCGTTGCTCAACCAAAGCGCGAACTATTACAGAAGAATGAGTTTCCGTTTGATCCGTTGAATATATAAGGGACATAGTGCTTACCTTGCTTCTTAGTGATAGTGTCGAGGTCAACCTCTGCGAGACAGCTTCGAATGGCTTCCGTGATCGAACCCTCGTCAGGTCCATTCATGGCTCCTCCACGGAAATCGAATGCACTGGCAGGCCGAGAGTTGAACCCACCAACCGGGCTGCGCGAGTTTCGGTGCGGTAGGCCAAGAAGGTTTTCGGTGCTTTGCATCATTCCGACGCTGTTTCGGTTGGTCATGCCGCTATTGTCAAACTGGCTGAGATTACCCATGGACATGTGTCGCGCTTGCATGTTAGGACTCTGCAGGGGCTGGTCGGTGTACCTAGAGAAGGTGGAGAAATGAGAGTTTCGGTTGCCTGGTATGTTTCCGCCGGGGATGTTTCCGCCAAAGGGTCCTGGTGACTGTGGTGGCATGTAGGTGTTCCGGCCGTGGCCAGGGAACCCTGTGAGAATCGTCGACGCAGGTTTGACAGATGAATACTGCGAATGCATGTCGTCCATTTCCATCGCGGCGTCATCCATGTAGCGAGGACCAAAATAACCCTTCTCCTGACCCATGGCGAAGTCGCCGCGACGGCCGGGCAGGTTGTTGGCCAGAGCGTAATCATCCCAGCGTTGAAGTGGGATGCTGCGCGGGTCGAATTCCTCGTCTTCCACGGCAATAACACGCTGCGAACCCTTCTCTTCAATAACAACACGAGTGTTACCCCAGCTGAAGTCGTCCTGCTTCCAGAAGGAGTACAAGGGAAGAATAAAACTGTAGATAGGGTAAGCACAGAGATAAATTATCATCCATCCAATGTGCTGCCACTGGCGCTTAACAATGAAAATAATCGCCTGAAGACCGTAGATACCCGCTAGCATAATAATGGAAATAAGCGGGAAGGGACCAGTGTGGCTCGCAACACGGTAGATCAAATATCCGAGATAGACGCAGGTCGCGGGCAGGATAATGGTTCCCAGGAGATCGACCATCACGACGAAACGCATACTGAAACAACAGAACCCACAAAGGTCCTTCAAGGCCGCCAATTCAACCAGGTTGTGGATGGTTGAGTTGATCCAACGACGTCGCTGCGACAGAAGAACCGACCATGTCTCAGGTGCTGCTGTGCTAGCGAAGGCATCGGGTATGAACTTGTATGACATGGTTGGGAAGTGCTTCGTCATTAAAGTAGTGAGGTACCGATCTTCACCAAGGGCCAACAGGTTCTTCTTGTGGAGCGTATCAACGTTGATGTCCGAGTACTCTTCAAGAAGCTTATCCGATACAATCAAGGGTCGACCCTTGTCAGCCGTGCGAAGGCGATACATACAGAAACTGGAGCCGTTAGTTGAAAAGAACGTTAAAAGGGAGTTAAGGGGGTACGAGAGGCTTACCATCCTGGAAGACACGTAACACTGCCGAACAAGGACTCGAAAGCCTTTGCCAGATGATGGGAAATATAATATTCATAGACCTGAATCATCGTCCACCAGCTTCGTTCCTCGTTTTGAAGACTTGTCTCACCACAAATACCAGCAATCCGAGCGTCGTTTGCACATGCAGCCACCAGACGATTGAGCGAATCCTCGCGTACACTCGTATCGGCATCCACCATCAGACAATATTCATAAAGTTCCGGATCGACACCGATGACATTGTTGATCTGGTGGAAGACCTCGAGCTCAAGTGGGGACATTGGTGCACGGTGGTGAACGCGGTTGAGGAAGTTGAGAAGAAGAACCTGAGAGTCTCGCTTACCCCTGTTACCGGGCTTTGACTTGGTCTGCTCGGATTCCTTGCCAACCTTGACAACGACTACGTAGGGTACCACGTTTCCTTCATATTCATATAGGCCCGAGTAAACCTTGCCGTAGTTCAGCTGCTCGCTTCCCTGACCAACGCACTTGACAGGTAATGCGGGAGGGTCGATCTTGGGGTCTACACCAAGAATATCCAAGATGATCTTGGGAGTCGGCCGGTCATTACCACCACCGACGATCATACCATCACAAATCACAAAGATCAGTTTGCGTTTGTTATCATATTGAAGAGCAGTAAGAGAGTCGAGGCCTTTGCGGAGCGAGTCCTCGCCTTCGGTATAGGCGGGGACCATGCAAATGACAAATTTGTCCTGGGGAGCTGGGCGACGCTTGGAGCCAAGCTGGAGAGCCGCAAGGAACTTGATCAAAACAACGGCACAGATCAAAATGGTGAATGACAGGAGAATCCAGTTGTTGACCGTACACCTCGCCTCCTCGCGGAAATCGACATCTCCTTTGTAGAACACGTAGTCCATACAGCTTTGAGCTGAGCTGAAGGGCTCCGACGTCAGCGGCCACTTATCTGAGACGTCCTCACCAGGGTTATTCTTGACAAGATCCGTGATTGCGTTGGGGAGGAAGTTGTAGTCACTGTTGTCATTCTGTTGATCAAGGGTGTAGAAATAGTCCGTAAGGTCATAGATCTTTTTGTGCGCAATGACCCATTGCCGTTGACTGCTGCCCTCTGCTTCCTTTTTAACCTTATCTCGCGTCCAGACAAGTGTTCCTTTGTGATACCCCTTGATTTTGGGCAGGAAAACCTTTTCGTACCATGTAATGTCATGTAGTTTAGTATTCGGGTCAGGCTGGTCGCGGGGTCCAGTTTTATGCACGGCGAGGGGTTGGTCCTGGGTGGCAGCAGTATCATTGTTTCGCAAGCTGATTGATAGGTCAGACACAAAGTCACCACACATCCGGGTTAGTGGAGGCGGGAAGTAAGCATCCAAAATCAACCCCCCTAATGGTTCCATAAGCGAAGGGGTTGCTTCCGGCTTTGTATCGCCATGGGTGAGCTTCGCGAACTTGGTAATATCATAAACTTTGCCATGAACGCTGACGAAGAAGTCATTGTCTGCAGCATGCCAGCTAAGCTCCTTTTCATTCCAGGCCTTGTCCTTATCGGGGCAAAGAAGATCACCAAACGCAATGATGTAGAAACAAACAATACCGTTGAAGAGAAGGATCAAAAGGACCAAGATCACTTTTTCTCGCCAGGCCTGCCGCACATCTGGACGCTTCATTCGTCCGATGTAGCGTAGGGCAAATGATGGTATCCAAAACGTAAGGGCTGCTACGAACATAGTCCAAGCGCGACGGCCAAAGCTGATCTCGTCCTTTTCGAGGTGTTTCCGGTCTCCAAGTTCGGCATCGCCATCGTAATACACGCTGTCCCACTTCTTATCATCGCCCTTGCCTCCCAGGCCATAATCACCAGTCATATTCAGGGTTGGAGGGAGACTAGGTGCAATAGACTTGCCCATAACGCTAGGTGCCATTGCACTCTGTCTGTGTAGGAGGTTATCGCGGCTGCCACCGAGTAGGCTAGCTGATTCGGCCATTGGTGTACTTGCGTAGTTGGGGTCCAGCATGCCATTACTGTAGTTGTAGGAATGCATCGACGGCGGTTCATCCGGTTTGAGATCAATCATCGTCTCCGCTTCCCACCAGGCATTTTCTCGCATCCAGATCCGCTGGTGACCAACAAAGGCATCACCATTCGTCCATCCTCTTTCCATTAGCCAATTTTCCACCCCATCTCTGCCATCAGCGCAGCCTAGTCGAGCATAGCGGTTGACGAACTCATCCACGTCGAAGTCGGCGGTGAAGTCGAATTGTTTTAGACGACGATTGGCCCATTCCGCAAGCCGCCATTCACGAATTTGCCGAGAGACCACAGCTGCTGACCAGGTAGCTGTTGGCGAGGACGGATTCATTGCCTCTGGAAGGTCATCGCTGGGATGGACCGATATGTGATGCCATACTCTGCTGCTACCGAGAGTATGGGCAAAATCAAACCGACCTTTCTTTCCTACGGCAATCCCCTGACTCTCGTCTGGAGTCAATATTTGGTGCAGGAACGAATCTGTATCGAGATCGATCCCCACTTTTTCCAAAACACCCTGTCTCTTGTCGAGTTCGTACTCTTTGGCTGGGTCTGTGCTAAGCCCGAGATCTGGCCCAAACTGCTCCACTGCGGTCGTCATTTCGTTTGAAACGGCCTGTCCGATAGGGGGAACCGGGACACCATCTTCTTTCATCTCCGCATTGATCCCAAGGTTGTCGTCAAACACGTTCCGAAGCGCCACTGCTTTTCCAAAGGCTGGTCGGGGCAGGTCAACAACAGCAATGCTCACTGTGTCGTCATCATTCCACTGCCCATCGGATCCATCAACGCGGTTCTCCTGAAGCTCGCTAGCAATGGCCTCATTGGCCTTGCCTATGACCCAGTCAACCAGGGCCTCATAAATCCCAGTAACGAGAAGCTCCCGCTCATCGGTTGCACATTTGTGCAGAAGGGTCTCGGGATCTACACCAAGCAAATCCCCTACCTCCTCACACGTCTCCTCGAGTTCGTCCTGATCCACTAGGAATCCAGCTGCATTGCCAAGCTTTAGAAGGCCGGCGAGAACAGATATAAGATTTCGTAAGGAAGCTCCCTTGATCCCAATTGCTTTCAGAGCGGCCCTAAAATCTTCTGCGGCGGCGGCATCATCGGCGGTGGGAATATATGAAGGTGGATCATAGGTCCCCGACTTGTTCAGCAGGGCATATGCAGAAGGCTCTTTTAGAGCCAAAAATTCCCGCTCTGCCTGCGTCGAGGATGATGTCAACAGATAGTAGAATACATCAAATGCACGATACCCGGGTTCTGTGGGGATATCTAGCAGGCCCTTTTGAACATTGATGCCCGAAGTTGACAGGGCTAGGTTGAGGGCTACAAGGTCGCCCTTGAGAGTGAATGTGAAGTTGGCGGACAGCGCAGAGTAGAGAGAATACGAAGGGTTGAATGATGTTACAGCATGTAAGAACGGCTTCAGCGCGGCAAGAGCTGTGAAAGTAACGCCGGGAGTCGAGACCGGAAGTGTTGCTAGGAAAGGCTCAAAAACAGATGGAGTTGATTGGTGAGTCGAGCTACAAGGATATTAGCA